TTCTGGTGGCTGCTGGCACTGAGGACCCTGGTTGGGTTTGGCTTTGGGGGCAAGGGATTACGGTAAGGACGTGTGCAAATAAGGAATTAAGGTAAGGACGTGTGCAAATAAGGGATTAAGGTAAGGGCGTGTGCAAATAAGGGATTAAGGTAAGGGCGTGTGCAAATAAGGGATTAAGGTAAGGACGTGTGCAAATGTGATTGACTAAAGGATATGCTCAGCCGATAGTTGGTGTGCAAGCAGCAGCTTCCGGCTTGTCCATGATTTACAGTATTTTCCGGAGTATGCTGGTAAGCTGCATCCAGATTGTTTGTCACGAAATACAGCCATCTACCATGTTTACCACCGTTAACTTGACCATCATAGCCTAAGCCACACCGACTTTTTTGGGGGGTGAGTTACTGGTATTTAATTAATTTTAAAAAGCTTGGCTTACACACCGGAAAATACGGTAGTTCAAATTCCCCAACATATGCGCTCTCCGCCCATCCTCTCTCACCTTGCCCACTATCACCTACACTCCATACAGCTGTTTTGATCATACACTGTATCAACTCGCACCAGTGAAAGCTGTATGAGTACTGAATGGTAAGAACTTGTGAATAGCACTATTTCTACTATGCATGTTATACAGCTGAGCTGAGAATAGCTGTGAACCTAAAGTACAGTAAAACCTGTCAAGGCGATCACCTGTACCAGAAGACCACTGCAGCCAGGACCAGTGGGTGCTATTTCCAGTCTAATGGCACTGCGTAAGGAGGCCACCTGGTAACAGAGACCACACTTTGAAAGTCCCTTGAGCAGTCGCCAATCGTCTTAGACAGCACATGTATCTACGGCAGCTTGGAGCTATGTTGCTGGCACATCAACCAATGTTGGCTGGAGATTTTATGTGGCGGAGTGTTTTGACTCTATATACGTCTAAGGTGAAATAATCCAACTCGTCTTTAAAAATATATGTAGGACTCAGTATAGAGTCCATGCACTATATGATGTCCAGCACCCTATATAGAGTCCATTGGTCCAAAATCCACTATACAGAGTCCAGGAGTCCACTCAGTTTTGATCAGCTTCATCCTGCCGCGCAATCCCCTATAAGGAGTACACTTTTTCTACAAGTCCCCTATTCACAGTCCAGAAGTCCAGTTTATCCAGTCACGCCGTCCTGCGTGTTGTGCCCGAAAGAGAACAAACACATTTTCAGTTTTGCTTGCCTCGTGGCAGCGCATTCCTTTCTTCACTTCAGCCATGGCTGCCAGTTCTGCTGTGCAGTTGCTGACAGTAATCTGTCTCGAGGTAACCAAGGAGGATAAGGAGACGTTCAAAATCAAATCTGGAAAGCGTCTTGTGGTTCTCTGAAGACGTTTCATCAGTGCGCGGGATTCCGGAAAGCAGAAATTGCAGAACGAGAAAAGTCGTTCAAATCTGACGAGTCAGGTACAGTGACGCTCTCTTTCGTTCCGGACGCCACAAGGATCCCCTGTTTGGCTGGCCATTGCTGCCAGTAAGACGTTTGAACGGTTTCATCAGAGCGAGGGATGAAAGCAGAAAGCGGAGAAAGAGAAAAGTTCAGCACAGTTCCAATTTGACGAGTCAGATACACTGACACTCTCTTTCGTTCGACGCCACAAGGATACCCCTGTTTGACTGGACAAGAGCTGCCTGTACCACCGTGTCAAAAGGCTGTCCAACTACATGGCAGGACGATGACTGAGGTAAGGAAGCTTTTACTCGTTTCGATTGGCCTGCTGTTCTGTTGTTATGCTTGATTTTTTTTCCGTTTTCAAGGAGCGTATCGCGTTTGTTTGATGTTGCTTGAATGAATGCCCTAAAAGTAATCAGCCACTTCGTAATAGTCCTCAAGGACTGCAAGGACTTTGCATCAATCGTATTATGATCGTCTAGCTATCATCAATTATTATTTTATTTCATGAGAAATGTATTTTTATCCCTGTGATAATTATGTGAACTCCACGACACTCTTCCTGTAGTATGATGTCGAATACAATGGGATCGACAAACGCAGTGCCAGTGTACTAGTAGTAGTAGGACTAGAGGATTGCTTGTATGCCAATGACAAGAAAAAGCTTCTCAAGCTCATACTCGTATTCCTGAAGTAACCGTTTTGATGTCACGAACATGACATTGTGTCAGTGAAACTGCCTCGTGACAACAAATCATTGCATTTCCATCTTGGGGAAGACTGACTGACAGCAACGCTGTACAGATTGTTCAAATCATCTCATTTCAATTTAGTTGCAGTGAAGTGAAACACTGAGCACACTACATGTATGTTGGTGTGTCTGTGCGTCTTGAGTGTGCACAAACGATCTTATTCCTCGTATTACTAATAGATTATTGTCCCCACCGTCACCTGTTCACAGGTCTTTGAGTGGTTTGATTTTCATTGAGCATCACATTCGTTGAGAACTTGGTAGTTGTGTGCTCCCATGCATCATTACGGTAACAAGCGTATCCTTGTGCTATCTATTTGTTGCAGGTGTGCTGATCTTCAGAAGCTTGCGGAACTGAGTGCTGCTGAACATTTGCATGGCCATGAGCAATGGTGAAGCTTGCTATTGCACTCTCAGCATGTGCTAGTATTATGCTGACCACTGCACTATGTTACTCTCTTATACTACTACGTGTATGTAAACGTGCGTGTACCAGTCCCCATATGCATTCGTTTCGTATAATTATTTGTTATCCCTCTTGACTTTACATGTAAATGGGTGGACGTTTGCATGGCTGTTGGAGTTGCGTGTGTATTGTGTCTCTACTCTTTTCTTGGTGTTTTCTTGGCGTTGTAGAAGTTTGTGTGTGTGTGTGTGTGTGTGTGTGTGTGTGTGTGTGCGCACGCGGGCGCGCACAATAATTTGAAAACAAATAATTAATCCTGGGCTCTCCATTATTCTCTTTCGATTCTTTTTTTTTTAGGTATTTTCTTGGCGTTGTGTGGGTGTGTGCATGTGTGTGTGCCTGCACAACAATTTGGCAACACTACATGATTGAGATATTGTAATTTGCAGCGTCTGCGAAGAGACCACTTGATTTGAGGATGGTGTTTGTAGGGTTTTTCATGTAATGAAGTGGCTGCAGTGGCGCCTCAATACATATTTTTTTATCTTGAGAAGTGAATGATGTAAAGGATTAAAGGGAGAGGCCGTTTTCTGGTTAATATTCACTTCTTACAGCAGATCCTATGTCTAATTTCAAACTTGATAGGGGATGCCTAATTGGCTGGACTTTATACAGGGAGCGTTGTCCACATAAAGACTCATTATAGTTGATTTCAAAGTTTGGACTCCGTACAGTCCACATAAAGACTCTTTATGTAGACAATCATAGAGTTCTGGCAGGACTTTATGGCTGAATCAAGGCCGAGTGCATACGGCCAAGGGCGCAGGCCAAGGCGCGTAGCGCCGAGGCCTGCGCCCGCGGCCGTGCGCACGAGGCCTTGATGAAGGCGGAAAGTCCTGCCAGAACTCTATGATCGTGTTTCAGGTTTCCACTTACATCCTTTGAGCCGCGTAGACGGTATAACTATAAGCGCGATACCACATACTGACATAGAGTGGAGGTTGGGGACGTGTTGGCTAGACCTGTTGCCTTTTTTCTTTGCTCAATGCTCAAGAACAAGTAGGTTGGTCGGGGACGTGGTGGCTACACTATCACTCCTTTGCTGACACGCGATGATCTTATCAGTTTTCGCTTACATCAGTACATGAAGGCCTCGTGCGTAGATCTACTGTGCTACGCGCCTTGGCCAGCGCCCGGGCCTTGGGCCTGCCTGGCCGTACGCTCATCGGAGTCATGGTCATTCTTTGAAACTGTATATAACCGCGACACCACCTAGGGGTGGAGGTCGGGGACGTGGTGGACGGATCTCTTGCCATTTTTTAGAAGAAGTAGTTGCAGAATTGCCAAAGCTCATGCGTACGGCCGCGGGCGCAGGCCTCGGCGCTACGCGCCTTGGCCTGCGCCCTTGGCCTCGATTCATGGTCAGGTTTCACTTGCGAACTGTATATAAGCGCGACACCACCTAGGGGTGGAGGTCGGGGACGTGGTGGACGGATCTCTTGCCATTTTTCCAATTATTTACTCCTCAGGTTAAGTCGTCCTTTGATGCTCGTACTCGTAGACTGTATATAAGCGCGATACCACCTAGGGGTGGAGGTCGGGGACGTGGTGGCAAGAACTCTTGCCATTTTTCCCTTGGCCTTGAAGAAGAAGAATGTTTTGAATTGTTGTAGCTGTTTAGTTTTGTCACTCCTTTACTGACACGCGTACAAACCTGTTGTCAACATCGCCATTAGCTTGTACTAGTTGTAGAATACTGGATTGCTTACTACATGTAGCCACCTTTGCTACCTTACATCATAGTACTTGTATGTTTATTACATCGATGAACAGAACTGGGCATGAGGTCATGTCTACAGGCATGCCCAATCTACATGATTGTAGACCTGGTTTCAACCATGTACTTACTCTACTCTCCTCCAAAGCCAAGGACGGCAAGGTCCTGACTCGAGATGAACTGAGATGGCAACGGAAAACTGACGCAGACCCCTGCACTGTAGAGCTAGGCTGACAGCGTGCGGGCCTTTATCGGCTCATCAAGGCCACCGCGGGAACGTCGCTCATTGGCTACAACCATGGAAACGGCACTGTAAAAACCTGAAAGTTGATTTCAAAGTTTGGACTCCGTACAGTTGATTTTGGACCAATGGACTCTATATAGGGGTGAAGCCAATTGGCTGGACTCCATACAGGGAGTGATGTCCATCAAAACTTTGAGCTCACAGTTGATTCCAAGTTTGGACTCTGTACAGTGGATTTTGGACCAATGGACTCTATATAGGGGTTGGACATCATATAGGGGCTGGACGCTCTACTATAAAAACGGTGCTATAGCAATGGCCCGGCATCCTTAGCAAGTGGATCCGACATGTTCCGAGCTGTTGCTTAGTGTGATGACTACACTGCATGAGACACACTGGAATTGCTTGCCAAGGTGTTTGTGTTGCTGTGCGTCCTGCACCTGTTTGGAGGAGATGATACGGTGGTTCACACACCCTGCTCCTCTTGTCACAGTACACTACAATGTAGGCATGCTGTAACCTGAGCCTGGACAACAATATGTTTTTACATCAGGCTGACATTTGAATTTTCCATTGTGTGTTTGTGTGTGTGCGTGCGTGCGTGCGCGCGCGCGCGCGTGTGTGTGTGTGTGTGTGTGTGTGTGAACCTGTGTATATGTGAATGGTTATGAGTCGTCCAGGCAAACCTGGATGCTAGAAATGACACCAACAATTGAGAGGGCACGTGTTTTCAGCCTGATTTCGGTAAGGCTGTGATCCAAGTGTCACAGTGCGCACGCGCACACACGCACCTGCTAAATAGGCTTGCTTTCTTCTCCACCGATACACCATATTCTCCTCCTCCTCCGCACTTCTTCCTCTCTTATCTCTCTCTCTCTCTCTCTCTCTCTCTCTCTCTCTCTCTCTCTCTCTCTCTCTCTCTCTCTCTCTCTCTCTCTCTCTCTCTCTGTCTCTCTCTGTCTCTCTCTGTCTCTCTCTGTCTCTCTCTCTCTGTCTCTCTCTCCCTACATTTATGTCTCCTGTAGCAACCTCTAAACTCGGGACAATTTGTTCAGATAACTCAGTGATTTATGTGATGTGCCACATATACAACCAAAACAACAGGAGTCCGATAAGGGGTCATTTCAGGTCGTAATTATACCTTACAGGCTTCTTGTGTCTTGAAGTACAGTTGGCATGGTGTACGTTTCACGGTTTTGTTTTCCCCTGCTAGATCTCCTGGGCACTTGGGAACATTCTAGAAGTGGCGGTGGTGCGCATGTCCGTCTCGATTGTCGACAAACACCACGTGTGGCAAGTGGCTACAGTGCTCTCTGTCATTCCCTTCCTTGCCAGTCTGCCGCTTTTCTTGGTAAGGACGGCTACACTCTCCAATGGACATACGACATTTGGACAGCATGTGTCTTTGTGCGTAGCCATGGCAATAATGGCGGTCCAGTGCGAGTCTGCGCAAAGCGGACGCAGACCAACGTGGTTGCGCACTTCGCAGTGGCCTACTTTCTTGGTTGGAACTTCACCATTGTGACCAAGAGTAGTACATTACCCACAAGAGCGCACTATTCACGCTCGCATATGCTCTAAGCAAAACAACACGAAATGACCGCCGCCGAGAGTCACAGTCAAAGCAGCCTCGGGTGTGTGCATCCCTGCCGCTACCCTTCACCAGGGTGCACTGACTGGTCCTGTGATGTGGATTTACACAAAATAGCGAATCATAAAAAAATTGAAAATGGATCGCTCTGACAATTTTTTGGCCACTAAAATCCATGGCCTAGTTCTTGTTCCCATAGGGGAACAACAGGAGGATAAAGCTTTTAAAATTAATGCTTGTCCAACGTAGGGTTTTGACCATGTCGTTGTGTTATCCTGTGTATGCAGTGCGTACCCGAATCAGTGCGATTCCTTCACCTCACAAAGCAGAAGACGCGGGCCAAGCAGGTGCTCCATCAGATTTCCGCTCAGAATGGACGCCTCACTAGTTTACAACGAGTAAGCTAGTCAGTCAAACAGTCTAGTGCTGCAGGCCCGGAGCCAGCTCCTGCGGGGTGGTACGGCCCCAGGTCGGCTTGGGGGGGGGGGGGCAATTATTTACCCATGCCCAATTTCAGTATCATAGGGGGATGAATCTCTAGTCTATGTATCATATGTGTTTGTTTCAGGTACTAGTAAACATTCCTCTAGCAGGTACTGTTACTTTTCCTCAGCGCCCAGGTCAACACACTTTCGTCAACACCGGGTTTCCGCACACAATCGAATCACAGTTCAGTTTTACTCCACTTCGGAGAACACAATTATTCAGACCCATGGAACATAGTAAAATCACAACAGCTACAAAACTACCTGTACTTGTAGAACTCAGGTCCAACACAACAAGAACCAAAACATTACCACGCGGCCAGCAACATGTGCATGCGAACAACTCACAGAACAAAAGGCACATGCTTCCAAAACCAATACACACTCCGGCCCGGCCGGCCCGTGTCGCATATGCCAGCGATACATGCATAAAAGGAAGTACAGTGAGAAGGAAGTAACGCAGGTCACATGAAAGCGCGTAGCATTCCCACGTGTAAGCTAACACGCACCACAAATCACGTATCACAGACACAGGGCCTAGGGCACAACTGCAACTGTGCACTACGCACACATTCAAATACAGCTGTAGACACGCACTGCATAAATCTACAAGTACTCGTACAAACTGTGCAGGTCAGCGACACCTGCAGCATCTGCTGGAACAATGGCACAAGGGAGTACTAAGAGTAAGAAAACGTAACATTCCCTCCCTCATGAGCGAACGTGGGAAAACTGAGCGAATCTAATGCCTATACGCTATTGGGCAAAACCGTAACTTGATACACAGCATTAACAACAGCGAGCATGCCAGTTAATGTCACTCATTGAGATCACTTAGCCGGACTTCGGCAGAGGCTGGGAGAGTCACCTTGACTGCCGACGGTTCCACATCTAGGGGCACCAAGCGGTGGACGCTGCGCTTGTACACCTTCCCTTTGACCTTCACGTCCACTACGCGCACCTTCCCGTCCTTTCCAGGATACGTAGCGACCACTCGACCAAGCGGCCACTGAGTCCTTGGGAGCGATTCGTCCAGCATCATTAGGATTTTGCCGACTGTAACCGATGCACTATCACGGTGCCACTTCGTCTCCAAATTGGCTCGAGCAACAATCTCGCGGAGCCACCTCTTCCAAATGCGCTTCATCAGATCCTGAAGCAACTGCCAGCGACGATGCAGACCGGTTGCTTCCAACACTGTTGCAACTCTCGAATGGCCAACCAAGAAATGCAAAGGCGTTAGCGGCTCCAGGTCTTCACTTTCCTCCGAAAGCGTTGTCAATGGCCGCGAGTTGATGAGAGCCTCGGCCTGCACCAATACTGTCTGGAGCTCTTCTTCAGTTAAATCAGCCTTGTACAGAACAGTCTGGAAAACTTGCTTCATGGAGCGCACGATCCGTTCGAACACGCCGCCGAAATGAGGAGAACGAGGCGGATTGAATTTCCACTCAATCCCTTGGCCTGCATACTCCGATGTGAGGTCGGCATGGTCAAGTTGGGCAACTGCCTCCCTCAGCTCTCGCTCTGTCGCAACAAAATTGCTTCCATTATCAGTAAGCAACATCTCGGGTGTGCCGCGACCCTTGCAGAATCGCGTCAGGGCCATCTTGAAGCCAGTCGTGTCGAGAGAGGTAACCAGCTCCAAGTGACACGCTCGAGATTGCAGACACGTGAACACTGCCACATACCTCTTCTCTTGTGTACGTCCTCGACCTCTCTTCACTAGAAATGGTCCGGCGAAGTCCACAGCGGTGCGGGCGAATGCGAGAAGTGGTCCTTGCGTGCGGAGGTCTGGGAGAGGACCCATCCTGGGAGTGGCTGGTTTGCGCCACACCTTCTGACATCCCACGCAGTGGTGCCGATGTGACTTCACCATTTGCTTGCCTTTCACAAGCCAGTAGTGATCGGCGAGATTGGACAGGATGTGATTTGTGCCAATGCTGTGTCGGCATCGCTCATCCTCTCTCCGAATGATCAGCTCTGTCACTCGTTGTCGAGGTGGTAGAATAATTGGCGATCGAAACTCAGATGCCAAGTGGTAAGCCGTACGCAGTCTCCCACTAACTCTTAATACGGGGTATCCACTCTGTTCGTCGATGCGCGGTTGCAACTTGAGAAGAGGGGCGCTGCTTGGCAACTCCTTCCCTTTTCTCAGCGTGCTCGTCACTTCACCATAGCTCTCATCTTGCGCACGCATGATCCAATAGTGCTCCGCTCTTTCAAACTCAGCTGGTGAGAGCTCGGGCACGGCAACCTCCTTGCTGTTCTTGATTGCAATCTTCACACGGGCGTCGCTGAGCGTTAGCTGTGGCAGTCGGCTCTTGCGGCGATTGTGTATGGCACGCATGCACCAAGCCGTGACCCGCACAAGACGGCTCCACGAGGAATAGTTGTTTGGACTTAGCCGCAACGGTGGTGACATCATTGCCGTCATCGTGATTTCAGGAGTCTTGAGCATTCGTGGTAGCTCCTTCGGCACAGCTATCCTGCGATCTGGCCATTCGCTCTGTTGCTGTGCCAGAAACGTTGGTCCATGCCACCACCTGCTCTCCTCTGCCAGCTGTGTGACTGTCATCCCACGGGTGGGGAGATCAGCTGGATTTCTGACTCCGGGAACATGACGCCAGTTCCGTGCCATAGACTGCTGTTGGATCTCCGATATCCGGTTGCCGACTTCCAGCTTGAACTTTCGGCTGGGTGATCGAATCCAATATTGGACATTCATGGAATCGCTCCCGTAGTGGCTGTCGGCTGCTCTCACACCAAGAGCTTCGCTAACGTACGTCCCAAGACGCACACCCAGGACCGCTCCCTGCAGCTCTAGCATCGGAATGGATCGACGCTTGATCGGTGCTGGTCTTGCCTTGGCCATCACCAGGGTAACCTTCGCTGTACCATCTGGTCGCTCTGCTCGGACGTATGACGCAGCGGCGTAGGCCCGTTCTGATGCGTCGGTGAACGTGTGCACACTCAGACCCATCGACGTTGTGCTATCTTGAAAACAGCGATCAATGCGTAGCTGTGTTAGCTTAGGCATCTCAGCAAACCATTCTTGCCAAGCTACCGCCGTCTCTTCAGGCAGTGGGTCGTCCCAGCCGAGCCCCGCAAGACATAGTTCCTGGAACAACAACTTGCTCCTGATGGTGAATGGTGCTAGTTGCCCTCTGGGGTCAAACAGTGATGCCATGCGACTGAGGACGGTGCGCTTCGTGCACGCAGCGGATGTGGGTTCCTGATAGTGAAACGTGAAATAATCTTCGCTGACCATCCACGTTACGCCCAGTGCCTTTTGTGAGGGCTGTCCACACGACTCTCGTGCCGTTATGGACTTAGACGTGGCCGGCGCGCGGTGCTCCGGTGGAATTGATTCCATCACTGCTTCACTGTTGCTCAACCACTTCCGGAGATGGAAGCCGCCTTTCTTCAGGAGGTATTGTAGCTGAGACCGAAGACGCATTGCTTTCTGGTCGTCAGGCAAGGACTTCAACATGTCGTCGACGTAGAATGCCTTGCGAACTGTGTCACTGACTGCTGGGTCGTAGTTCGCTCCGAAACGCTCGGCCGTCTCCAGCAAAGCTCTGCCTGCTAGGTATGGCGATGCACGGATGCCAAACGCCAACCTGGTGAACTCATAGGCCTTGACTCCGTCCCCGGCCTTCCAAAGAAATCGGTGATATCTGCGATCCTCAGGCTGTAGTGATACCTGAAGGAACATCTCCGACACATCAGCAATCAGTGCCACGGGGTGCATGCAGAACCTGATCAGTACTGTGATGAGGTCATTCTGCAGTCGCGGCCCAGCGTACATGTGTTCATTGATGGACGTGCCGTTGAAGCGAGCTGCAGCATCAAACACAACACGGACCTTAGTTGTAGCTTTGTCTTCGCGGACTACTGCGAAGTGCGGCAGAAACCATTGCTCACGGCCACATTGCTGGACTTGATCAGATGTCAGCTCCTGAATGTACGCCTTCTGTAGGTACTCCTCTAGCACCTTTGCATAGCGAATCTGAACGGTTGGTCTTCTCTCTAGAGACCTCAGTAGCGAACGCAGCCGATCCTCGGCCTGCACTCGGTTGCTCGTGATCTGAGGACGCGCTCCATTCTGCCAGGGAATACCGACAACGAATCGACCATCTGCGTACCCTAGCTGCTGTCGAGTCATTTCCTCAGCATGGCGTTCGTCAGGTGACAGGTAGCTCTCAGCAGACGGTTGCATGCCGACCGCTTCCAAGTCCCAGAAGTTACGGACAAGCGAGTCGAGGCCTGTCTGTGTTAGTTCCAGGGCATGATGGGTGTGCTGGACAGAGCTGTCTTGTATGGCTGAACCGAAACAGACCCATCCCAAGGGTGTGCGCCTTGCAATGGGCTCACCTGCCTTGCCAATCCGTTCTTCCTGTGCACTGTGCAGTGCTGCTGAATTTAGCCCGATTAGGATGTCGATGGCGCGTTGATTGCTTGCAGCAGGGAAATCAATGTCTGCTAGATGTGGCCACTGGTGACGCAGACGGCTCCAATCAGCAACGTGCACGTCGCTTGTGATCTTTGGCAGCACATATGCCTCAACTTCTGATATCTCCTGGCTGTCATATTGATGAAGGGACAGAGACACCACCTCTCGCTCGCCTGAGAGAACTTGACCGCCTAGCACACCAACATGCACTGGCTTGCGCTCTCCTCGCAGCCGTAGTCGGTATGCAAGCCTCTCTGTGACAAAGCTGCATGTTGATCCAGAGTCAAGAAGGACGTTGGCTGTGGCAGTCACTGTTCCATTTGCGACCCTCACCGGTATCGTCATGAATGAGGTCAAGCCAGCCTCGTCGTCATTGGCTGGCTGGGATTCGCTGTTCACATGGTGGCTAGCCTCTTTTCGCGTTGGTGGTGATGGTGTAAAACTCCCTTGTCGTTCACGGTGCAGTAAATGATGATGCTTGCCTTGACACTCTCGGCACACCGCTGCCATGCAGTCTCGTGCCCAGTGCCCATCTCCCAGGCAGTTGACGCATAGCCGTAGGTTCCGGATCGTGTCATTTCTCTTTTGCACGGGCAGACTCTTGAAGTCGCCACAATCTGCAATATGGTGTGCACCCTCGCACTTACCACAGGCATGGCTATTGTCTGCATGCTGTCTTTGCTCTGAGGCAGCTTGCTCTTTTCTGGAGTTGCTGCGGCTGCTAGAAGCGACCAAGTTACGTTTCGGCCCAGGCTGTGACGAGTCGCTTGATCGTGGAGTCCCAGGACTGGAGATAAACGTGCGCTCCCTGACTCCATATTGCCTGCTGGGCAACGGCCGATTACTCTTGTTTTGGTGCTCCTTGGGCTGCAGTGATACTGGTGGGCGGTCTCCCAGGCCAATTCGTTCCTCAACACGCATCTGCTTCTGGACGTGTGTTATTAGGAATTGCGAGAATGCCTGTATGTCACAGCTGGAATCATCATAACGATCGAAGTAGCGTGCCAGGAGCCGTCGAGGAATCTTCCGGGTTAGCGCCAGGTATAACTCTCTGCCTGGCTGCACCTGGACTGCTTCCATGTTAAGCAGGGTATTGCGGAGCCGAATGGCGAACTTTTTCAGCTGGCTGACGTCACGCTCATTGGTCAAGACTCCCGTCGGAGGTGCCAGTTTATGTTACTTTTCCTCAGCGCCCAGGTCAACACACTTTCGTCAACACCGGGTTTCCGCACACAATCGAATCACAGTTCAGTTTTACTCCACTTCGGAGAACACAATTATTCAGACCCATGGAACATAGTAAAATCACAACAGCTACAAAACTACCTGTACTTGTAGAACTCAGGTCCAACACAACAAGAACCAAAACATTACCACGCGGCCAGCAACATGTGCATGCGAACAACTCACAGAACAAAAGGCACATGCTTCCAAAACCAATACACACTCCGGCCCGGCCGGCCCGTGTCGCATATGCCAGCGATACATGCATAAAAGGAAGTACAGTGAGAAGGAAGTAACGCAGGTCACATGAAAGCGCGTAGCATTCCCACGTGTAAGCTAACACGCACCACAAATCACGTATCACAGACACAGGGCCTAGGGCACAACTGCAACTGTGCACTACGCACACATTCAAATACAGCTGTAGACACGCACTGCATAAATCTACAAGTACTCGTACAAACTGTGCAGGTCAGCGACACCTGCAGCATCTGCTGGAACAATGGCACAAGGGAGTACTAAGAGTAAGAAAACGTAACAGGTACTAGTAAACATTCCTCTAGCAGCAGATATGACGGCTAGCACAGTATACCTCACTGGCCAAGAATAACAGCTTAGGAGGGGGAGGCTCTAGCGAGGAGTGTACAAGGATAGCAGATTAGTACTTCTACATAATCAATTACACCCGGAAAAAAAACCATGAACGCTGGAATTGGTACGGCGGGTACAACCATGGCTGTACCCAGTGTACCAGTAGCATGGCCCTGTGTGACCAGTAAGTACATTGCTGTCAGTAGCTAGGATAGACAGTGAGGGATATAGGCTGACTGTTGCACAGCGTATACCTCAGGGAAACTAGATAAACTCGGATGGTGAGCCAATTTAATTGTGGTAAAAACAAGACGGTGGACAGTTAGTCATAACTCGTAACATTTTGTCCTTCTCCTTTTTTTTTTTTACCGAAACTAGATAACTCTGCCATTGTTGATGCACTTAATTGGTCCCTTTTTTCATGCTGCATGTCACTTCCTCCAACTCTCTTATAACCGGGCCCTGCTTCTATGATGTTTACATGGTTCGCACAAAACTCATCCACTCTCATGTAATTGGGCTTGCTGCCCGTTTGATTCTGCGAATGAAAGTAAATGAAACAGCAGTAACATGTGGTGTCTAAGTATCTGCTGTTATGCATGCACAGGCTGACAACCTGACAGCCGGCACGGAACAACTAGTGTCTCTCCGACCAACCACCCTGATGCATGGCTGGCGAAAGAGGCGCCGGAAAAACGTCGCAGCTGAGCATGGCAAGACTACATCTAAGTGCTTCCTGATGGCCATGAACTGCTTCTTAGCGTAAGGCGCAAACCATTGCTTTCTTTCACCAACCATACATAGCCTTTTAGCGACTTACAGCACTCAGTACCGGGTGCCGAAGAACTGGAGGTTCAGCCTGCTAGCCTAGGCCGTTCCTATTTTTCATGTACTACAGTCTAAGCACAGTTGAGTCATCGTGTATACATTGGTATGCTGTACTTGGTGAAATTCTAGCCTGGTCGTTCTTCGGTACCCGGCAGTACTGTACAGTAGCAACAGATGCCGAAGAACGGGGTGCTGAAGAGCATTCAGGCCGCTAGGCTAGAAAGTCACAAACATTTTAAGAACGTGCCAGATTAGAAGCTAAGATTTAGGAACACCCCAGGCAGTGACTGTGTGTGTGTTTTAATGTAACACTGCATGCACAGTGTACAGTCAGACCTCGCTTAACCGCACACATCCGTTCTCCACAAAAATATCCGGATAGGTGAGGGAACCGGATAATCGAACACACATACTGTATGCATGCATGGCATATGCTGATAAATCGGCAACCAGCGATTTTCTTCCGGATGGCGAGGGATCCGGATAAAAGAGGACCGGATAAGCTAGGTCTGACTGTACCAAGCACAAAATCTGAACGAATGCGCTGGAATCTCGAAATCAAGAACATCACTGAAGTGGAGACCCTACTTCGTTTTGGTGCCTGATGTTACTCTAGCTTTGAAGTGGCAAGGAGAGAAGTGTGGCACTTGATGGAAATTGTTTTGGTTTTGTTTGCCACCTACAGTAGAGGTAATAGAGAGGTTCTGCAAAACGAAAATTCGGACGAAATTTCGCGACGGTCCTTGCAAAAGTGTGTACGAATTTTCGCACGAACTTTGTGTTCTGCACATTTTCGTAGTTTGCATGCGCCAAGTGCACGAACGCCATGACCCCATCTCACGAAACTTCCTACGAAAGTTCATTTCGCGTTCCCTGCAAGTTTCGCGTCCAAAGTTGCAAAAGTTCGTGCGAAGTTTCGCATATCATGACGTAGAGCGAAAGTTCGTACGCATTTTCGTTTTGCAGACCCTCTCTACTATGGAGCAATGGTGGATGTGATGTGAATGGTTTTTACAGCAAATTCACAAATTTCTACATGAATCATGGTAACTTTCATTGTCTTCAAACGTTTCTGTTTGGCCTTGCTCTCCAACAGGTTTTCAGGCTCACTGTTGTTCCTGGGTTCAGGTATACTAACAGAGGAGCTACTGTTGTGGAGAAAGCTGGCAACTGCATCAAATGCAACAGCAGGCACAGAGCTCCAAGGAGGTGACTACATCAGCTTTGAGTCTAACACACCACATGATGCTGTGGAGAAACAGACCAGTTGCAAAGGTAAGTGGCATTTAACTTGTAGTTACCCGCGATTCCGATACTGTTCACATCCCCACCCCCACACACACAGAAACTCTCAACAACCAAAAGGCAATGTGCATTTTCGCCAAACCCACACTGATGACGTACACACCGTTGCCATGGAGCACTGACAAAAACTTGGAGGGCAATCAGAGTTCCGACTGCACCGGTCTTTGCTCCTTCGCATTTCAAAGTAACTCAGAGCAAAACAGTCACACATGCTTCTTTCTTTCTTTTTTTACATGTGGTGTTACCCAATATAGACCAGTTCAATGTGATAGATACCAACGGGGACTGTCACCACCTGGCTGCGGCTGACTACAACATGGTTGTTGTGGTCTTTGTCATGGAAGTACCTGGTAAGACAACAATGCAAGGCGTTTTTGAATCCTCAGCTCTTTGTTGATTATTTGTATTGTGAGATGAGTAGGGTCTGTAAAACCGGAAAGTCTAACGAGTCACAAAGTCTAACGTTTGAACGACCAATGTTTCCGTTATTTTGAAGAAACGTTATCACGAACCCGGTTCGAGATGTCTGTGTTAAGATGCACGTACACCGATGCACGTTCTGGGTGGCTAGGTAGCCATCGTTAAACTTTCCGCACGTTATCATGCCAAAATGACCAAAACGTTAAACTTTCCGGTTTTACAGTGTATGGTTGGAAAAATACAATTTGCTTGAAAAATGACCTTTTGTTGGCATGATGTCAAGATAATGTGCGCCGAATTCTGCTTGCCCGTTCTGGTGCAGTGCAGCCACACTCTGCTTTACCTTGATGTCTGTTCTTGATTTCACACTGCAGCACTTCTTCTTCTCTACTTTCTGGCCGACACGCACGGCCGCAAGCTCTCGCTGGCGGCGTCGTTCATCGCCGCGGGGATATCGTACGCTGTCGCAGCCACATGCCTCAAGTCACTGTGAGTAGTTGTAAATGTGTACCAGTACATGTACATGTACATACTTAACTCAATCTCCGAACAGCGTGGAAAGATTTGGCAGCACTGAACATGAACTACGTCTATGATATGAAAATGATTGTGGGCAACACAAGTGTAGTGTCATTTTAGTTACTTGGCACATGGTGATCTGGTCAAAACGAGCAGTGGACAGTCCGATGCTACCTCCAAGCAGGAAGCACATGCTCGGGGATTTCAACCATTAGTCAATGTGTTGTGATTGCAATAAATAGAGGTGAATCAAATATCGGAAAGTAGATGGCATACTGACATTCAAGACTTTTTTCATAATGGCTTGGCTCTCTTTGTCTTTGGTGATCCGTCTGTCCGCCTGTCTGTCCATTTGTCCGTTTGTTCGCCTCCTGTTCTCCCCCTAACACATGGCATAGCATGAAACCAGTGTGTGTGTGTGTGTGTGTGTGTGTGTGTGTGTGTGTGTGTGTGTGCACGCGAGCGGGCATGTGTATGTGTGATGTGTATGTGTGTTTGTACGCCTTGCCTCTTGTTCATCTGTTCTGTTCAGAGCTGAGATGATGGTGGTGTTGGTCATAGCCCGCATGTCAGCTGTGCTTGTAGTGCAGCTTGCCAGCTTGTATATCATAGAGGTAAGCAGGGCCGGCGGAACCGGTCAGGCTGGTCCGGCCATGGCCGGACCACTTTCACAGCTGGATGGTCCATGTGATTCGTGCAAAACCGGTGTAAAAAATCCAGAGGTACATGACTCGACTGTACTGCTGACGTGTGATGTGCTTCGAAGTAGCTCAGGACCACGTGACCGGCACTGTATGGCTGATATGGATAAAAAAAATTGTGTTTGTGTTCTTTTACTATAATTTTCTGCATTTTCTGGAGCCTTAGAGATGCCCAAATTCGCTCTATTTCACGTAAATTTTAAATATTTCTCCCGGGGGAGGTCCCCCGGACCCCCCTCAAAGGTTGGCCGGACCACTCCCCAACTCCTTCCTCCGGCCCTGGGTAAGGTTATTATTATGTGTGTGTGTGTGTGCGTGTGTGCGTGCGTGTGTGTGCGTGTGTGCGTGTGCGTGCGTGCGTGCGTCTGTGTGTGTGTGTGTGTGTGTGTGTGTGTGTGTGTGTGTGTGTGTGTGTGTGTGTGTGTGTGTGTGTGCATGAATGAAGAGCTCATTCCCAAGCTATCCCAGGATACCGAACCCCCCGTACACAATATATTCAACACTGCAGCAGAATCAGGTAGACCTGTAGCACAAAAATATAGAAGGGAGCTAGCTTCTTCATCACACCTTGTCCTCGGTTTGAACACCCCCCCCCCCCCCCCCCGTAATGGAAACTGGAACTCCCATGCCAAACTCTTATTATGTTGCATACAGTCAGACCTGGTGTAAGCGACCTCTGGGTTTAGCGACCACCTGCTCTTAACGACCGTCTTTCCATGCACCGGCAGTTCTACACAGACACTGTGGGACCTGGTTCTAAAGACTTTAACGACCACTTTTGCTTGCACCATGGGGTGGTCGCTTAAACCAGGTTTTACTGTACATCCACTTTGCGGCTTTTAATGGTGTCCTAGGAAGTTGACTGCGGGCTGTTTCTTGTTCTACACATGCTACAGGCAGTCCCCACACAGTCACGCAGCCGGTTCTTGGGCGGTGCAACATTCATCTACCGGCTGACGGGCGCAGCAGTGGCTCCCGTGACACTGGTACGTTGGGCAGCTCATACATGTGGAGTGTCCCGTGCATAGCATGCATTTGCTCAGTGTTTTAAAAGATGCTGTAAAAGCAGAAATTTTCGGTGGTGTAATATTTTCTGTATTCTCCAAAATCGGTGGTTCGGTGGAGGGAAATTCTCCGTAAACCCGTTTTCCAGGTAAGTGTACTACATGTAGTACTAGTACCGAAATTTTCGGTGGTGTAATATTTTCGGTATTCTCCAAAATCGGCGGTTCGGTGGAGGGAAATTCTCCGTAAACCCGTTTTCCAGGTAAGTGTACTACATGTAGTACTAGTACCGAAATTTTCGGTGGTGTAATATTTTCGGTATTCTCCAAAATCGGTGGTTCGGTGGAGGGAAATTCTCCGTAAACCCGTTTTCCAGGTAAGTGTACTACATGTAGTACTAGTACCGAAATTTTCGGTGCGTTTTATTTTAGGTAAAAATTGTCGACACCGAAGTTACCGAGAATAAAACACCACCGACAGCTTCTGCTTTTACAGTAGAGTAGAAGCTGTGAAGGTGACCACCCTGGCAAGGCAATCACCTATCCCCAGCAGAGGACCACTACGATTAGACTGACCAAGCGATGTTACACCTAGCCAATGGCCCTGGATAAGAAGAAGACCATACGTATACGGCGGCCGGGTTTGTCAGGTCCATTGTGCAGGGGACCGAGTTTGTCAGGTCCATCACGGTGCAGTGGACCGAGTTTGTCAGGTCCATCACGGTGCAGTGGACCGAGTTTGTCAGGTCCATCACGGTGCAGTGGACCGAGTTTGTCAGGTCCATTGTGCAGTGGACCGAGTTTGTCAGGTCCATCACGGTGCAGTGGACCGAGTTTGTCAGGTCCATCACGGTGCAGTGGACCGAGTTTGTCAGGTCCATCACGGTGCAGTGGACCGAGTTTGTCAGGTCCATCACGGTGCAGTGGACCGTGTTTGTCAGGTCCATCACGGTGCAGTGGACCGAGTTTGTCAGGTCCATCACGGTGCAGTGGACCGAGTTTGTCAGGTCCATCACGGTGCAGTGGACCGAGTTTGTCAGGTCCATCACGGTGCAGTGGACCGAGTTTGTCAGGTCCATCACGGTGCAGTGGACCGAGTTTGTCAGGTCCATCACGGTGCAGTGGACCGAGTTTGTCAGGTCCATCACGGTGCAGGGGACCGAGTTTGTCAGGTCCATCACGGTGCAGTGGACCGAGTTTGTCAGGTCCATCACGGTGCAGTGGACCGAGTTTGTCAGGTCCATCACGGTGCAGTGGACCGAGTTTGTCAGGTCCATCACGGTGCAGTGGACCGAGTTTGTCAGGTCCATCACGGTGCAGTGGACCGAGTTTGTCAGGTCCATCACGGTGCAGTGGGCTTACAGGCAGGTTCACTGTACTGTGCTACTGTGCACTGCATGTTGCTAGCACTTGGGTTGCTTTCAAAACTATGGGAAGTGGTGTGTTGCTGTTGGACGTCACTTGATGTGTTGTTTCCCCTTCCTCCTATGTGTGCCTGAACGATAATACCCCCGACACATAAAGCAAGAATGAGTGCAACACATGTACTGGTATAAGAATGGTCAAGTTTCTGTCTGTCTGTCTGTCTGTTTGTTTGTGTCTGTTTGTCTGTCTGTCTGTCTGTTTGTCTCTCTCTCTCTCTCTCTCTCCGAGTCTCTCTCTCTCTCTTTCTTTCTTTCTCCCATAGGTTCTACTACGGCTATCAATGGCAGCCACCTTGGCCAGTGTGTCCGCGATATGCCTCACTACAGCCTGTGTTGTTCTACTGCTGCTTATCGAAACCAAGAAACGACCAATGCAGGTTAGAGGACTGTAGGCACTAGGCAGGGTGGTACATGTTAATAGTGATGCAAGTATGGGGAGGGGGTCATCAAGTGTACAGTGTTTTACTCTCTCATTGCTTTTGATCCATGTGTTATGGGTTTTTTTATTTCCTGTATTTTTATTTTTTCACGGAGAAGGCGGACAGCCCGAACGTGCCGGTTTTGAAAGTAGGGGGGGGGGGGGGCGGGGGGGGGGTGAGCAGAAGGGAGAGGTTGTACTACAGGATAGATACACAGTTCGTGAATTAGGGGATTTCCCACTTTACTCGCCGTGCTTGGATGGGCTGATTTCGTCATGAGGCATGACATACCCTGCACACTGTATTCTTACTCATTCCCCTCTGCAGGACAATTGGAATGAGAATTGAGTCAGCCATTGAGTACTGGTAGTTCACGGAACGACTATCTCTAGTCTAAAGTCATCTCAACAGTTCAACAAAGGCCGGCAGCAGGTGAAAACTGCCCGACTACATACACCATGTATACATATGGCGATTCTCGACATTACTAGTAGTGTCAAGTCATCCTCGCCAATGCCATGATGGTTGTGAAGCCGGTGTACTGCTTCTTCTTTATGATAAGATCAGTCAGCATAGGGTTAGCTGCCACTGACCCGGCGCTGTTGCCAATGGCCATCTTCCCGCCCTACACTACTGCTGCGGCAGGATATCCTGAATGCCCTTGCCTCGCCAGCTGCAAACTCCTCCGGAATGAAGGTCACTTGCTTGTGAACATAATTCAACAAGACATACTGCACAATGGACAAACTGAATGGACATATCAACAATTCTGAAATTCCTGTAATGGACAAAATGCCGTCGCTCTCCTCCACCTTGAAGTTTCTTGACTCAGGATTTGAACATGCAAGTAAGCGCAACAATCGCCACCACAACTATTATTTTGTAACAGTTCTAATCATACTTGCAGAACGATATAATGGACGAGATGCATTCACTGCCCTCACGCATCGCAAGCACCACAGCTATAATTATTATAACTACCTGTACAGGTGGTATACTTATACTCGCACACCGAGTACTGCATGTTTCTAACAGATTATGGTTGCTAATTTCAGGTTTTTAACGCTCACGGCTAGCGAATTGCCCTGATTTTCTATTTCAATTGAAATAGATCTAACCGAAATGCCTACTTCATAATTGAGTGATGCTTGTTATGCATGGCCTGCAAGCATTTCTTTTCTCCAAACATTCCATTCTGTAATCCTCTCTCCAGGAGCTTTCCCTTGAAAATACCCGGTATTTTTTGGAGTAAAAAAGGAGAAGGACAAAAATGTTACGATTTTTTGGAGTGTGTGGGTTTTATTGCGGCATTTACGACACGTGTTTTGTGCACACTGTTGGTTTTATGGACAAAGGGACAGGTTTTGTGTGCTTTAAACAGTTATAAGGAACAGAATTGTGCCGCTCGGAAAGGAGGCAGATTTTGCAGAAACCAACAGGGCCATAAAAACGGGGACAGGTTTTGTACAAAGGGACAGGGTTTATGCACAAAGGATCAGATTTTTGAGCATGGCGCTGGCTTCATGTACAAAAGGGACAGGTTTGTGCATAAAAAAGGAAGGATTTGTGCACGAAGGGACAGGTTGAGCAGGTTTTGTGCACGGAGGGACATGTTTTTGCGCAAGGGGTCGAGTTTTTATGCACAAAGGGACAAGTTTTGTGCATAAAGAAACAGGTTTGTGTACAAAGGGCCAGGTTTATATACATGTACAAGGGATTATTTCTACAAAAGGACAGGTCCACTGATTTTGTGCAGAAAGAGACAGGTTTTATACTCAAAGGGCCAGGTTAGTGTACAAAAAGGTCAGGTTTTATGCACAAGGAACAGTTTTGGGCATGGCACCGGTTTTGTGCAAAAAGGGTCAGGTTTCGTGCACAAAGGGAGGGACGGGTTTTGTGGACAGTGGATCAGGTTTTATCCAAAACGGGCAGGTTGTGCACAAGGGGTTGGGTTTTATGCACAAAGAAGGTACAGGTTTGTGCACAAAAAGATCAGGTTTTATGCACAAAGGGGCAGGTTTGTGCACAAAAAGATCAGGTTTTATGCACAAAGGGATAGGTTTTGTGTACAGGCACAGGTGTGTGCACTAGGGGGTCAGGGTTTATGCAAAACAGACAGGTTGTGCACGGGGGGGGGGGGGGGGGTTGTTTTCTACAAAAAGGGACCGGTTTGTGCACAAAGAGGTCAGGGTTTATGCACAAAAGACAGGTTTTATGCAGAAAGGGAGAGGTTTTGTGTGTACGACGTAAGCTCTGTGCTCTGTTGTGCTCGAGCACCAGACTAGTGTAGATGTCATCAGCGATGCGTGCCACGACTACAGGCAGCTATGCAAATGTGCCACGTCATCAACAGTCAGCACTTACAGCAACCACTGCCCATTCCCACCATGACACAGGTGGTAGCTGGTGCTTACCCGGTCTCGGGCCGTAACGATATGTAATCAGTTTCCTCTCAAGGACAATCGGACCAAAGCAGAGATAACCCAGCCACAGCTACCGAGTCCAATGTAGCAGCTTGGGAAGTGGGGACATATTCCAGTCCGAGCTCAACTGACGTTTCAACAATGATCACGTGGAAATGGGAATCAACTCACGAATGACTAATATACGCTCAATCTCCTAAATAAGTTCACTGAGAAAATACAAAAGAGACTCAACTAACTAATGACTTATATACGCTCAATCTCCTAAATACGTTCACTGAGAAAATACTGCGATGCATGTGGTGGAGGTGGAGGTGGAGGTGGAACTAATTCATTGACGGACAGGTCGAAAGCCACTGCTTACGCTCTCCTATTATCGAGAAAAATAATGAATTTCAATATCCTAATAGTCACCTTGTGGATGTCAATACCTAGCAGTTCACGACAGCACTGTCAAATCATCCTAGCTGCCGTCATGACTTCCGTGACGGCTCGCTGCTTCTGTCGGATGAGCTCCTTCAGGACGGGGTTAGTTGCTGCCTTGGCCGCCGCCGATTTCTGTCTCCTCTCCCTGGCTTGCTGGTCCGTGTATTCCTGGATGCCCTTGGCTAGCCAGCTGCGGAACTCCTTCTCCGGAATGAAGATGACTTGATTGCGAACAAACTGCACCGCACGGTGGACGAAGACGGACGGGAGCAAGAAAATCAGCGAAACGTTAAAGGGAAAGTATACCCTAAAATCAAATTTTCACCAGTTGTAGTCTTCGGGGTGCTGAGTCGAATGGTCTTGGTCCGAGGAAGCTGAGACGCTTCCTTCCTCCTTTATTCCCAATCGAACTCGCGCACTTCCACCGAAACTGGTTGACTGCGCCCTACTAGATAGGGATTTGTATGGAAAAAGTCACTAAAAACGCCGTTTCGTTCTTATAAAAGCACGGATGACCGCGATAGGTCCATATGTTGTAGTCTTTTGGCCGCTGAGTCGACTGGTTTTGGTCCGAAAAGGCTGCGATGCAGCGTTCGGCCCTTATTCCCAATCGAACACAGTTGAGTAAGCGGTCACGTGCTCATGCTTACACCAGTCGCCTGGTCACCGTGCCTGCAGGCTACAATTTTCACATCAAGGTTCAACTCAAAAGCTCAAAGCAGGGAGTCGTAAGAGGCTTTTACGACTCCCTGGTTCAAAGGTTCAACTCGAGTGACATAAACGGGCCCAAACAGGCTGTGAATGAGCACGTGACCGCTTACTCAACCGTGATCGATTGGGAATAAGGGCCGAACGCTGCAGTTCAACCATTTCGGACCAAAACCAGTCGACTCAGCGGCCAAAAGACTACAGCATATGGACCAATCGCGGTCATCCGCACTTTTATAAGAATGAAACGGCGTTTTAGTGACTTTTTCCATACAAATCCCTATCTAGTAGGGAGCAGTCACCCAGTTTCGGTGGAAGTGCGCGAGTTCGATTGGGAATAAAGAAGGAAGGGAGCGTCTCAGCTTCCTCGGACCAAGACCATTCGACTCAGCACCCCGAAGACTACAACTGGTGAAAATTTGATTTTAGGGTATACTTCCCCTTTAACATTTGTATACCTACCACCAAACACTACAGTACTGTATTTTCCTGACTACAGGTCGTCCCTCATTAATACATAATCTCTGGGACTTGGTAAATGTTATGTATTAACAGGGTTTATGTACTAAACGAAAGTGTACATAACTTGCTTGTGTACCAGAATTTTTCACTTTTTTCAACTTTTCTGAGTGTTTCTTGCTACGATGACTAGGGAGCGAGATATTCTTGATTCCCTCAATATAACATAAAAATTTGTTATAACGGTCACAGTCAGCGAAGATTCTACAGTTTACATCAGATACATGCCCAGCCGCGTCTGTACGAGTCGCTCGTAGATCTAGTCATTCTGAAAAAACAGAGCTTTGTCGGCTTGTGATGTGCGCTCTGATTTCTGAGCTAATTGCGTCCACAAGTAGAAACTAGAACACAATGTGCCTCCACTGGAAGGCCGAAAGACCAACAAATTATGTACTATTGAGGTAGGTGGCATGCGGGTACGGAGAAATGTTATGTACTAGCGGGGTTTATGTACTAACGAATTATGTACTAAAAGGGTTTGCTCCCCACACCGGAGCTCGCGCTATTCCGCTCAACTGATGAGGGGTGAATTCCCTGAAACACTGTGTATTGAGCAGGGAGTGGTGCTTTCTTGCAGGTTTGCCGAGTCGAAGGTTCGATGGACTTCTCGTGTGCTCTGGATGGCAGTCGTGAGTCAGTCAAGTGTCAAGTAAAGTCGGCGGAATAGCGCGAGCTCCGGTGTGGGGAGCAAACCCTTTCTTACAAGTCATCACCGAAGTCGCAACCACTACTTCGAATTATGTACTAACCGACATAATTTGTATGGAAGTGACCACGTTTCGTCCGGGACTTGAGATTTCTTATGTACTAACGGGGTTTATGTACTAACCGGACTCGTATTAACGGGGGACGACCTGTACTTGTATAAGTCACACCTTTTTACACTATAATCCTCGGGCAAAGAATAGGATGCGACTTACAATCAAGTATGACATCCTACTTATGAGAATGTATCGAAACAATACCGGTATGGCTCAAACCTGAAAGTAGGGGTGCGGCGAGTGCGACCTTTAATCGGGGAAATCTGGTAAGTGAATAGGACTCTGGTGCTGCACCATGATTTCCTGTGCAACTGTCGCACACGTATCATGCAGCTCTGCTCAAGTGCTTGGACACTTCGCCCAATGAATGGTCCTTCTTAAACTCCGACTGATGTTGAGAACAGACATCTATATAAAGGCAGGCATTTGTAGAAGACGGCATGGTATGGCGGCGGGTTTGCAAGTACAGGTGACGTCACCACCAACACAACACCCCCCCCCCCTCCATTCAATGTTACTACTTACATTGATAGCCTCACGGACAGGTGGCAGTTCACGCTCCCAAATCTCCAGCTGGGCGAACACACCAAACAACTTCTTCTTGTCCAGCTTGTCAGGGCCAAGGTCAACATAGGTCTGCCCGTGTACACGTACACACGCGTGCACACACACACACACACACACACACACACACACACACACACACACACACACACAAACAGCAATCAATCATATGCTTGTTCTGACACAATGACGATAGCATTGATCAGGAGAAACACTATGACAGCCATGTCGGGCATATAGCTCAGTGGTAGAGCATTCGACTGCAGATCGAGAGGTCCTTGGTTCAACTCCGAGTGTGCCCTGCCTTCTTTTTTGTTCTGTTTCACCTTTTCTTTCTCTGGTTGGCGGATCTGATGTATCCTCCCCCACCGTTTAGGAGCATCATCTGACACCTGATCATGATGTGGTGGTGTCCCACGCTGGAAGCAGAAAGGCGGTTCTTGACCCTCTCTGTACGTGAACCCGTGCAATTATTTTTCTTCTTTACTTTTTCAGTGTATCTCCAGCCGAGCGCCGCACGCTGCTCACTTCTACGTGTCGGCTCACTTTAAAAAAACACATGCACTGGCAATACATGCTTAGACACGGTGACAGTAGCTAAGACGTGTTCTCCTCTGCCTCCCTGGCTTAACCTTGTGCACACGCATACATGGTCTCTCTTCGCCCCTTCCCAACTTACCGGGATAAGGTGCTTCAGCTTTGTTATCACGAGTGAACAGCAACGATCAGTCAGCGAAGCAGTAGGAAGTGCCAGAACCAAGTCCTCGTACCTAGGCAAAGGAAAGCACACAAAATGAATAAATTTTACAGTTCACATTCAACATTGTCAGACTATTTTCTGCATCCGTAAGAACGCCAGCACCATCAAGAATCAAGTGCAGATGCAGTGGGAGGTGAGTAGATCCGACCCACCACCAAAGTGGTCAAAGACCGAAAATCCTATTCGCACCGTCCATGTTACCCTCAGGCAAGGTCACGAGTTCCCAAATAAATGTGGGTCTTGGCACAGTTGGTAAAAACACGAATCCACAACAATTAAAGGGGAAGTTAAGGCAAAAATTAAAATTTCACCAGTTGTAGTCTTCGGGGTGCTGAGTCGAATGGTCTTGGTCCGAGGAAGCTGAGACGCTCCCTTCCTACTTGAATCCCAATCGAACTCGCGCACTTCCACCGAAACTGGGTGACTGCGCCCTACCAGATAGGGATTTGTATGCAAAATGTCACTAAAAGCGCCATTTCGTTCTTATAAAAGCAAGGATGACCGCGATTGGCCCATATGTTGTAGTCTTTTGGACGCCGAGTCGACTGGTTTTGGTCCGAAAAGGCTGCGATGCAGCGTTCCTCCTTTATTCCCAATCGAACATGGTTGAAGAAGCGGTCACGTGGTCCTGGGTGCCCAAATCACCTGGTCACCACGCCAGCAGGTGACAACTTTCACACCAAGGTTCAACTCGAGTTCAACTCGAGTGACAGGACTGCACCCAAAAAAGGTCAAACAGGCTAGTAAGTTGTACCCTGCAGGCACGGTGACCAGGTGACTGGTGTACGCAGGAGCACGTGACCACTTCTTCAACCATGTTCGATTGGGAATAAAGGAGGAACGCTGCATCGCAGCCTTTTCGGACCAAAACCAGTCGACTCAGCGTCCAAAAGACTACAACATATGGGCCAATCGCGGTCATCCGTGCTTTTATAAGAACGAAATGGCGCTTTTAGTGACATTTTGCATACAAATCCCCATCTCGTAGGGCGCAGTCACCCAGTTTCGGTGGAAGTGCGCGAGTTCGATTGGGATTCAAGTAGGAAGGGAGCGTCTCAGCTTCCTCGGACCACGACCATTCGACTCAGCACCCCGAAGACTACAACTGGTGAAATTTTAATTTTTGCCTTAACTTCCCCTTTAATTGGACACAACACTTGTGCCGACACTGCGAGTAAAAGGAGCTTGACTGATACGGGCATCAATAAAACAAAAAAAAGAAGGCAGGGCACACTCGGAGTTGAACCAAGGACCTCTCGATCTGCAGTCGAATGCTCTACCACTGAGCTATATGCCCCATGACAACATCCAAAAGGTAGTGAGTTTAGTTGACTTCGTGTAATGTGCAAGTCAAATGAATGGTACACTCAGACCTCGCATAACCGCACACATCCGTTTTCCAGAAAAATATCAGGATAGGCGATGGAACCGGATAATGGAACACACATACTGTATGTGTGCAGGACATATGCTGTAAATCGGTAACCAACGATTTTCTACCGGATGGCGAGGGATCCGGATAAACGAGGACCGGATAAGCGAGGTCTGGCTGTAACAGATTTCATGCCAAGATCGATCGGCTCATAGATTCTGTGGTTTTCAAAGCACTCCCTGTCTCATTGGGAAGTCGTGCCATTTCAAACCAAGCTCGAGTTTCATTTTATCCTCCCAGGGCTCTGGTTTGAACTTGAATGTTATCGCTGGGTCTTTGCAATGTGAGCGCACCAATCCAGGAGTCGGATTTCAGTTGCCAGCAGTGTAGGTGTAAAGCGGGATTCTGTAGTGCAGTGTGCGGTGTGCAGAGTTTGATAAGAAACTGGCATCTCCACACTCCGCAGTTGAAATCCTTGTCTCCTCTGCACAAGAAATATATTAGACTGGTGTGTGGTAGCAGGAACCCCTTAACTTTGCGCTCGCTAAGTGGAAAAATTGCAAATCGTTAAACTTTTAAACTTTACAATACCACGCATTACCAATAGACCGCTGAAGAAAAAAAATCAGGAGAAATAGGCCAATAAAAAAAAGAAGGCAGGGCACACTCAGAGTTGAACCAAGGACCTCTCGATCTGCAGTCGAATGCTCTACCACTGAGCTATATGCCCCAGCATGGCAACCTAAGTATATTTGCTGGTCAAACTAATGATTACGTGGGCGCCAAGGCTACTAACACTCTCGACTACTTCTTTGACAGAGGATCATCGCAATATGAATACTGGTAGGTTTCAAACTCTGTACATGGACTCATGCTATCTTTTGTGTGTGTTTTATTTGTTCTATTTCCCGTTTTTTTCTTTCCTTTCCATCATATCGTTATTATGTTCATTTGTCATTGGCAGTCGTTTGACGAGCCAGGAAATGTTGGATAAATACGAATAGTAGAATACAAATACAAATGTTTTCACATGTAGAAGTTGCAGCACTGGTGACATACATGTAGCTATAGGGATGAATTCAGGGACTGTTTTAATTCTCACTACCCCATTGCCACTAGAAACATACCGTAAATGAATTTAGAGACTGTGTCTGCACTTGAACCAGTTGAGCAAAAACGGGTGTGCTGGTACGAGAGTTTGAGAGTTTGAGTACAAGGTGTGATGCAGGCAAGGTACGTAGTGAAGGCAGAGCGCCATGCACACGCCCACAACCACAGTTGCATACTCTTGCTTGCTGACTCTTGATGATGATAACGAGTTCATCAGACTCCTGGGAGTACAGTTTGGAGTGTATTACTCCGGAACTCATTTCATTGTACCGTAAAGTACCGTTGATCCGCCCCCGCTTTAATTCCCGCCCCCCTGTCGAATTACTGCCTGTGAAGCGACGTCGGCGTATACAACGAAAAACGATGTTGAACCGACGCATGTACACAATATGTGCGAGTGCAGGATGAAAATATGCACAATCCAGGATTCCAGATCTGATCTTCTGCCTTGCTGTACATCGTACAGCACTTGAACGACTTGATTTAGTTCCCACCCCCTGCCGAAAAGCCAGCTGGGAAACGACACAGCGTGGGGGGGGGGGATCAACGGTACTTTACGGCACATGCACAGAAAAGGAACATTCCGGCAAAAACGGACAAGAAAAAAAGATAGGGCACACTCGGAGTTGAACCAAGGACCTCTCGATCTGCAGTCGAATGCTCTACCACTGAGCTATATGCCCTACATGTCTCTCAAGCTTTTCATTCTCGGACAAAACCCATACCACCAGGTCCTGCCACAACAACGTCAACACAACTGCATAAATAGCCCAGTGTACAGGGATTAGAATAGCCTGGTGAACCGTAGCACACGTATTCATAACTCTATTGGATAGATCAGTGTGTATTCACTGGGTATACAAAATGGATAAGAAGATCTCCCGTTATTACGAACAAATGCCATCGGTCCCTTGGTGTTCGTCCTAAAGAGGTTTGACTGTACAATGTATTTCCAGGCAAGTGTACAGTGAAACCTGTCTAAGACGACCGCTCAAGGGACCTTCAAAACATGGTCTGTTACCAGGTGGTCTCCTTATCCAGTCATAATTGACTGGAAATAGCATCCCATGATCATGGTTGTAATGGTCTTCTTGGACAGGTGGTCACCTTATCCGAGTGGTCGCCTTGACAAGTTTTACTGTAGCATCAATTACAGGTGAACGTCACTGACTAGTCACCACCACTTACCAGTTATAGTTCATCAGCAGCTTGCGTCTAGCCATCTCGGCCGACTCGGTCTCCACGCCCTCGCGCACCTGACGCAGCACGTCCCAGATGCGCTCGTTCGGCCCTAGCTTCATCAGCGCCTCGAACTTCTGCTGGCAAGTCTTGTACCGCTCCCTGAGGGAGACACACCAATCCGCTGGATGTCAGCAGTTCTCCGCTGAACACGACATTCAGTGGCAGTTTAATGTGGAGAAAGCCCCTTGGTGGGGAGGTGTCAGATCTGTAAAGAGTTACAATTATTCTGCTACTGATTGTGATTGTTTTGGGTGTCGAGTGAGAGTCACATTCATATGGTTGCTAGTGAGAGTCACATTCATATGGTTGCTGATCTGCTTCAACAAGCATCCATATGTAGAGGGGACAGTTTCAAATAGGACACAGGTTGCAAACCGGAACGGACTCAATATTCACTTTCTCTCTTGGTATTTTGATTAGAAAACATATGTCACAGTGAGACTACGATGTGTTATACTCCGAGCCAAAATTTCATGGCTCTGCGATGACCAGAAGCGCCATATCAAGCAGGTGAGTTTTTGACGTGTTGCTTCGCACAGCGACTTGAGTTTTACGACTTTCGAAAAATCAACTTCTTGTCGCAGGTAAACAGCGGCTCGCCTCTCGCCAATAAAGCACCACATACCAATCAAAACTAATGGAAGCACACACAAGGCTTATTGTTACTCTGTACTGGCCGTCGTGGAGCGATAGCAATTACCTAATTTCAGACCCAGAGTGAATTTGACGTGCACTCTAAAACGTGTCCGGTTTGGAGCCACCTCTGATTTGAACTTTTTTGAAGCGAAAAATTGGGCAACTTTGAGGCAATGGGTCAACACAAAGGAGTGGCTCAGTTCGATTGACTCTGGCCCCAGAGCAAACTTCAACATGCCAGTTTCCTTCCACAAACATATTTCGAGTGAAAACCAACGCTGATGATCGGTTTGGGTCTATACAAATTTGGCTGTCAAAGCGTCCCGGTATCGAGCCGTCCCCTCTACAGTATTCCCTTGAACCAAGAGTACATAACCCCCCAGAGTGTGCAACGCCGATCCATCTCTGCATAGGGTCTTGGTCGAGCGGAATCGGATCTTCTGATGTCATGCGTACACTCCACGCCAGCGCAAGGCCGGTCTCGAGGCAGGGCACCATTGTTTTTGATCCGAGAGTACCCGCGACTTCCCGGGTTCCCCTCAGATGTGTACGGTATTATGACGCAAAGATCCGATTCCGCTCGACCAAGACCCTATGCGCAGCTGGATCAGGCGTTGCACACTCTGGGGGGTTATGTACTCTTGCTTGAACGTGACATGAAGATCGATTTTGGAAAACTCTCATGACTTCATTGTTGTGTGGCGATGACAACAGAATTTGTTCTCTTTATTGCTATTCCGTTGAAGCTTCTTTTTTTGCACATGCAGATTTGCGCATTAATTTTGTATCCTTTTGTGGAGACGCCTTTGGCGTTGCCCCTGTTTTTCTTTGCTTTAGAGTTCAGTGGAGGTGCTTCCCCTCACCATAATGTCGTACTAATACATCTAAAATTCTAAATGAATATTCTAATTTATGGTCGTGGGTCGATCGTCTTCGGACGCACATCCGTACATACTAGTATCACCCACCGCCCATTGTACATGGACGCACCCAGGGAGTAGTAAAATATCGGCATTTTACTACTCCCCAGGTATGGACCCAGGGCAAGCGAGAAGCAAACCAACCTCTCCATGGCCATCAGCTGGGTCTGCACGATGAGGTCGCGACGGGCCCGGCTGATGCTGAAGCGCTTGCGAATGGCCTCGGCATCGTACGTCACCGGCGTCTGCTTGTAGTCAATGGGCGGCAAGTCAAGTTCCACGGTACTACCACGGGCATCTATACGACACACAACACACAAAATACTTCTAAAATAAATTCACGGTTCGCGTTACATTCGGTTAGACTGACATTCCGCATCCGTAGGAACGCCATCACACTCATAGGGTCAAAGGCGCATATGCAGCTCCTGAAGCGGTGGGAGGCGAGTAGACCATAAACAAACGCAGCACATAAGCAACAGCACGAAACGAAGGCAAGTGGTTCTGCCATAGTCAGGAGAGTACACAAGGTTTTAAACCACACGTATATAACGAGCTATAATGGCACATATATGCCAAAGACAATTTTTTTCTTGTCCAAGTGAAAGTAGTTCAAGATGTGTCCTAAACAAAGCGTGACGGGGTGGAAGGAGGTTATTGTATAGCATCTGCCCCCCCCCCCCTCCCCGGAAACAGCTTAGCTTCTGCCCCCCCCCCCCCCCTCTCCCGCCCGAAACAGCTTAGCTTCTGCCCCCCCCCCCCTCTCCCGCCCGAAACAGCTTAGCTACCTGCACACTTTGCACGTACCGTACTGGTTTCCCATAGACTGGGAGCGCGCCATGCGACGCCGCTGTCCCTGCTGGCTGATGTGATTCACAAACCACTCCATTTCCTCTTTCTACGGTAGCAGAACAACAGAGAGAAGAAAGAGAAGACATTTGCACGGTTACGGCATCGGCAACTTGGGGAACTCCCTTCTGCACAACAATACCCACCCATAGTGAACACTAGTAAATTCTTGGTGTCTCCCGTCGTGGAAAAGTAGATGATCCACGGCCTGGAGTGTTTTCTCACACCAGCACAATATTATGTTGTACAGTCAATCATGAGAATAACAAACCTCGACCGGGCATGAGAAAAGTGTCGGTAACTTATTTGCGAGTTGTCGTTATTCGTGACGTTGAAAGAATGCAGTCAAATGGTCACCATGGTCACTGGGTCTGAAAATAGTGACGTTATTCACGAGTTGTTGTTATACCCAAGGTTAGTATTCACGAGGTTGACCCGGCATGTGAGTGAAGTGCGGCAATGACAGCTTGAAGGATGAACCACAAACAAAAAAATGGCATTGCAAGAGCTTGCCTAACACGGCACTTCATTGAGAATTTTGACAAAAATCCATGTACACAAACTGCCACTCTATTCCGGGCCTCGGCGGTGTGATTGCTATGATAACGAAAGGCGACACATAGATTGAGTCATGGTCACCTTATTTTTAAAAGTTACAGGGTTCACAGCACACCCATCCTCAGGATCGACTCTGACAACAAAGGGCGCTTACTGTACATAGCGCAGATCCTCCACCTTTGAGTTATTTTAACGCATGCATGCAATCCGCCATGCATGCACACATACACATACACACACACACACACACACACACACACACACACACACACACACACACACACACACACACACACACACACACACACACACACACACAACTCACACACAACTCACATTCAGTTTCTTGTGGCCTTTGCTACCACTCTTGACATGCGGCAGTCTTGAGCCAGGGCGCATTTGAGAGCGAGGCTTCTCGTGTTTATTGCTGTAGCAAAATCCCATTGTGGAACAAGATATCAACTGGCCAATAGGCAATGTGGACACAATAATCGTACAATCACAACCATATACCGTAATGTTGTGTATTAACGCTGAGTTTATTCCTGTAGAAGCCGATGTCGGGGCTAGGCTTCTTTTCACATCAGGCTTCTGTTTAAACCCGGTATTTCTATGTGCGTCAACACTAAAACCAGGCTTATGTGCCGACAGTGGGACTTGAAAATCAGGCTTGTACTCAAAACAGGCTTCTGTGTGAGACAGGTTGTAATACAAGACACTACGGCAACTGTATAGTATTTATTCCCGTAGCTATGCAGAAGACGTTACTTCAGTAACGTCTGGCGCTAGCCAGGGTCCACACAGCTTTAATTGGGTGTTTGTTTGTTTGTGTCACGCCTGGCGCTATCCCGTATCTGTCCCGTACTGTACCGTACCAGCAAAGACAGCTGGCCACAATATTTTTGTGTGTTGGTGCCATCGACATGCCTGGCGCTATCCCGTACCTGTCCCGTACCATCAAGAGTACGGTACCATCAAGAGAATAAGACATTAGTATATATGCGAAGTGTATCGGGGGAATGCATTCAGTGCAGTAACATTTTGTGTGGATTTGTGTGCGAGGCCCAGATCCCATTAGCAGGCTGGCTGGGCCGCCTGTCGACCTGCCCGGGAATCGCATGTAGGCGGATAGCATAATAACTATAACGTATAATTATACAGTCATGTAGATGTAGAGCAGGGAGTCATATTATGTAAACGACTCCCTGCTGTATGGGGAGATTTTCTGGAAAGAAATACGAAGTAGGGAGACGAGTAAATGCAATCAGAATGGATGTTGGTTGCCGCCAGTATAATAATAATAAGAAGATAAACGCCCGTGATCGGCAGAGTCAGCGCCGGTCCCAGGAAACGCCATCGACTGCAGAACGCCCGTGATCGGCAGAGTCAGCGCCGGTCCCGAAGCTATGCAGAAGACGTTACTTCAGTATCTCATTGAAACGTTTTGGCAATACAATGATGAAGCTAATCAAAGGAAAAAGCATTTCCACCAGTTCTAACAACATGCACGATGAGCTAGGCAACAAAGCATAGCGCAGGGCCCTGAGCTTCCAAGCTCTCTCGTTTCAGGATTACGCCGAAGGCCCATCGGGGAGATCTTCTATTTGTGTATGTATTAGGAACATAGTAAGTCGGAAAAAAAGAGAAAGTGTGCGAAGTGAGCGTGGAAATACACAGGTCAGTCATTCACAGCAAATTTCTGATAACAAAGGCAGGAGGAACGTGAGAGCGAGAATCGTAGCCCACTTCCACAGCAAACCCTGGGCACTAGAAACAGTTTCATTGAGATTTAGTTGTCGGAGTGGGATGTATTCTCTGCGTAAGAAGACTCGGCAACCACTCAAATTCGGACAGCCTACGATAACGGTAATCATACGCCTCGCCCAAGATTGCGTTTCAGATCAATTTATTTATTTTATTCCAAGCAATACATGACTGGGGTAGCCAATGACCACGTTGCGTGGCGATTGCACTTTGCAGGGTTTTATAGCCAACCATGGTCAGAGCCAGAGGAGAGCTAGATCAAAGTGCCTGGATTATACACAGATGCTTCAAGTATAATATTGCTAACTGGGTAAGCAGCTACCGTAGTGTCTTGTATAAAAGCCTATCTTGAATAGAAACCTGTTTTGAATAGAAGCCTGATTTTCAAGATACACTGTCGGCACATAAGCCTGGTCTTAGTGTTGACACGCATAGAAATACCTGGTTCGAAATAGAGGCATGATGTGAATAGAAGCCTAGAGAAAAGGTGACTCACATCAACGCATTATTTGACTTTCCGGCACCTCTCTGTAGTCATACCGGACCGTGAGTATACACAAGCGTAATGCGGTGATGTGCGGTGATGGGTGTGTGTGCAGTGCTTAACTCACTCACCTGGGCACGGCCAGTGTCTGCGCCTTTTCCAGGAACGGGGGCAGCGCCTGCACCACTGGAGTACGCGCGGAACCGGCCTGGCCTAGCACGGAACCGTTGAGATGGATGCTCGGCTGTGCACCGTACGCACACACACGCCAATACACACACCACACACACACCTTTGACCTTTGACCTTTGACGCCCATCGCCGGAGGCGATGATAGCAATGCTACGGCAGAAGCCATAGCAACTTGTGCTGGGATTACACCATTCAACAGCTCGCAAGGCTGAAGAATTGACCGTCACTATTCAGCCTGGTCTACACCATACAGCTATTTGGAGTGACATTTTCTGGCCAGTGAATCCCTATTTTTGGTCTTTTCACACACACACACACACACACACACACACACACACACACACGCACACACAGGCACAGGCACAATTTACAATTTGCAGTTTGTCCAACAGTCCAGTATGTTGGTACCGAGACATCTAAAGGAGAACATGGATTGGATTGGACTGGTTTATTTAATGACATCTCTGCCAAATATACGCCTCAATGGGTGCATTTCTCGTTTTCGGGCACTCAACAATTCAGATAAGACTTGAGATAACACAGGTTTCAGCATCCTGTCCGTAAGTACGTGTACACCATACCTCTGTTAGAGATTTGCGTTGTCGTTGCTGTCCCTTGTGATGCTGATGTCCGGCGCCAGAAGCCTGCAGAGGGTGTAAAAACGAAGCCAAAAACAAGAGTCATCATGTCTTAGATTGTAGAGATGCACAAGGACAGGTTGGAAGACGCTGAGCGATTCCCGAGCCGGGCAGCCCCGTTTGCGATAATCATGTTTAGCTACTAGGGAAAAAAAACTACACAGTGAATGCTGATCCCAGGAGTACAAATTCTCATTTCACAAGAGTGAAGTTTAGCGAAAACACTCCCCTATACCGGTACTGTACTAGTAATTGCTAAAAGGAGACCTTGGCTATTATTATGTAACTAACTCGCTTCACAGTTTTCGAGTTCAGTGATCGTGCTGACTACTTGAAGTATACATGTACTGCCTGAAACACGTGATGAATCGAGAGAGTGAGACAAGGAGATCGCCATGCAAACAACGTCACAAAGACACACACACTCGGAAAAGGAGGCGTAGGCAGATACTCACTCACCTTGCTAAGTGGTGTCTGGATAAACTCGTCCCACTTCTCATTGACCGATCTTTTGTGCTGGAACTTTTCCCGGCGTGCCTTCAACGTATTACCCTTTCTGAAATGGCAAGAAAGCCAAAACAGCATGCTACTCTCTCAACACCCGTCCATAGGTACCGAGTGAGTTAGCACAGTATGTGACATATAGGCGATGGGTTTTTTTGGATTGGATTTTATTTATAGTGGTGACTATAACAGACAATTGCCTAATAACAATAGACCCACTCGAGGGAAAGATGCATGGTTGAAGGTGCACAGGCACAATTACCATGATTTGCAAAATGTAAACCGGGAAACCTCTGTGATTGTTCGCGATGGGTGTGAAACCGCAAAAGTAAACCAGCGCAAAAACTAGAACTAAAGTAAAAACACGAATGAAATTGACTCCAATCTCCAACACTTCCAGTGTAAATTGGTCTGTGCACGCAAATCGCGAACTAAAATCGGCGTAAGCGCTTCCCGGTTTACTGTATAGAGTCTGACGGCAAACCAACAACAGGTTAAACACACACTTACGTTCCCGGCAGCCAGGACTCGGCGACGGGCGATAGAGTGGCGGGATTGTCGGCTAACATCCCTTCCAGAATCCAGCATATGGCCGACAAATACTTGTGCACGTATGTCCTGCGAACACAAGAGCCCAGAAAAGCACAGAAATGCTGCTGCTAGTCATGCCTCGCAAAAAGCGCGATTTCTATGCACCCAACACCATAGTGGCTATTCTTTGCTCGACCGCCAATTTTCTTTAAATTCTGTGAGGAGCGACTACATGTAGTCACATGTGTGACGCCTGAGAGGTCATGTGACACACTTCCAGTGAAATTAATCACGTCATGTGACCAATCACGTGACACAGCATGGCATCACAATCTTCGGAAGGTCCTTGGCAGCACGCCGTGCCTCTCCATTGGATCGAGGGAACGAGGGTTAGATGTGCAATGATTATTCAAGTTGTAAGCTTCAGCAAAGCTACGAAAAGCCACACTCACAAAGCTGTGGGGCATTGCTGCTGAAAAGGCATGCCGGGACTCCATGTGCGAAGAAAAGGTTATGCAGTTTGGCAGCAATGAAGGCGGATGCTGCGGAGTGCAACGGTACGACGTCCACGAAATTTGAGAAACAGTCTACATGTACCACGGCATGCCGGTATATCTTATGATGATATGATCATGCTACACAAAGTCACAGACAATGGTGTACCAAGGGAGCTGAGGGAGAGTCTTCATGGTGCTCTCCTAGTCCATCAGAGTGCACTCCAATTGAACAGCTTTGCACCTGCTTGGCTTCTCCATGGATGCCGCGCCCGAACAATGTTGTCATTACTGGTAACTAGCGGATCAGATCTGGGGTGGGGAGTTATCTTGTCACTCCATGCAAAAGATATGCTCTTCCTCGTGTTTCCTTCCACATGAGAGCCCCTCGATAAGCTTCGGACAATCCTTTTAAAAATAAAAATAAATTAAAACCCAATCGATCAATCAATAAGCCCCCATCCACCATACATACAGTGTCATACACACAAGAAAGTACTAGAAATATTGAAGTATATGTAGTGCACCGTTCTTCTTGCTATCTTACAGATCAACACTCTCCTCGTCGTAGTCACTGCCCATTCCATCCACCGTGCTACGGCTGAATGCGCCAAGCTGCACACTGCTGGTGGCGTCCATTAGCGTGTTGTCGCTAGCGGACGAATCGTCTTCGTCGTCTTCGTCGCTGTCGTCGTCACTACTACCAGTGGCAACATGCTGCCTGTCAGTCATAGATGATTGCGATGCGCTTGTGACGTGTACGGCTGATGCAGTCTTCGTGTCTTTTGATCGGCTACCTGCAGTTGCATCAACCTGTTGCAAGCAAGAACACAGCAATAGAAGACGAACATAAATTGAAAAAAAACTCGGATGTTGAGCCAATAGCAATATGTAAAGAGAAAAGGACCTATAAGTTACAAGTTATGACTAACAGTCCACCAAGGTAACGAGATAATATACAGCCAGATAGTGCGACAACGAAGCACACAACTGACAAGGGTATTGAGACATTTGATGACCTGACACCTAGCTCCAACACAGCGCAAACCAACAACGTTCCAAGTTGGAAGGCTCAGGTGCGGAAAGTTCCAAGTTGGAAGGTTGTTGGTTCGCACTTCGTACATGTGTTGGAGCTAGGTGTCAGGTTGGCGAATGTCTCAATATCCTTTGTCAGTTGTGTGCTTCGTTGTCACACTATCTGACTGTATTATCTCGTTACCTTGGTTACCTTGGTGGACTGTTAGTCATAACTTGTAACTTATAGGTCTTTTTCTCTTTATAAATTGAAGTGTGTGCAACTTGTGTGTCTCGCTCTGTGCGCTTTCAGTTTTAATACGCATTGTGCCTGAAATGGGTTGTCTCACATTCCGGAAGCAAGGGCACGCGCTGTTCACATGGAACACACATGGAATACTGATTAGAAACGTTCGATTGTGCACTGCAACAGTACGGTGTTCAACGGCCGCTTGTTTGGTGTGTGTGTGTGTGTGTGTGTGTGTGTGTGTGTGTCACGCACCTTGGTAGACGACGCAGTTCTAGCAGGTGCAGTGGCGGCCTCACTCGCCTCAGGGCGGGGTGCCACACGACTGTACCAACACACAAAATGTAGATAAAAAATAAAAAAATTCACGGTTCGCTTGAGACTCAGTTAGACTGAGTTGTCAGCATCCATAGGAACACCACCACCCGGCAAAGATCTAAGGCGCAGATGTAGCAGCTCCTAAAGCGGATAAGACCAACGTTAGATAAGACTAACGTTAGATAAGATTCACTATTATTCTACATACACTGTGCACCAGGAACATGGCAAGGGGTTGATGGTGGATTGGTTTCCAACTCAGCCCTCAGCCCGCACCTGGAGACCGCATAGCGCTGGATGTGTAGCAAGAAGGACCCATGCGTGCGTGTGTGTGTGTGTGTGTGTGCGTGTGTGTGTGTGTGTGTGTGTGTGTGTGCGAGCGTGTGTGTGGGTGCGCGCGCGCGTGTGTGATCCCAGGTAGCCTAATCGGTGGGGCACTGTCCCGGAAAGATTGGGGCGCGGAGTTCGAATCCCACTCGTGGATCCTTCTTTTGCAGCCGATGATACTAATCTCTCTTCCAGCAACTGTGGAGACAAATCGCAATGCTGTGTTACAAGTAGGTAACCACTCTACCTAATGCTTCGAAGTACGATTGCGTGGCATTACGTCCAGCTCACCTGGTTGGGCGAATAATCCGAGGAACGTCTGTTTTGCCGTCGATGTTCAGCTCCTCGGGGTTCCTGAACAGCAAAATGACAACAGCGGAAGCAATCCAAACAGTGGCAAAATCCTTTGAACAAAGCGTCACGATTGACTACAAACACGGACGTTTGAATATACCGTATTTTACTGGCTATCAGTCTACTCTGGTTGAAAATCGGCCCCTGACACACGGGCCATCGATTTACCAGTGCAATATCAATATGATACATGACGGTCAAATCTTGGTTGTAAGTCGGCCACCCCTTTTATTAAGTTTAATTCGGTTTTAGGTCATAAAAAGTTGACTAAGACGTATGTAATAGCCACTGCCAGTAGTGGGTGTACGATCATCACCAGATCTACAGCATTGCTACAGTGCAGACAATCGCCCCAGGCAGTCTGAACCCCCTACTACACTGCTGTGCTTGTGCTGCCATCAGGGCACAATCCCTGTCAATGCCCTCTCCGGAAACGACGTCAAAGTAGGCATAGGAAACCTGCTGTGGCCGCGAATGACCCTCACATACACACACGCATACAGACACACGAACACACGCACTCACACACGCGCACACGCGCACACACGCACACACACACACACACACACACACACGCATGGACATGTCTTACTTGTCAAACTTTGCGATCTCTCCTGGCAGTGGCTGCCTCTCCTCAGGGTGCACAAATGTGACTGAATTGCTCGTATCTGCCGCTCTATGGTTCGGTGTTGTCCCACGGGAGACAAGAGACGCACTTCGAAGTCCACTGCAGCCAAAATATGCAACAAGTTCCATCAGGCCTTATGCCGGTTGATTCGTAGCAGAACATCACTTGGAATACTAGACCCCAACTCCAGAACATGAGAATGAGTGATACAGTTTGTGTCTGCGTGAGTGAGTGAGTGAGTGAGAGAGTATGAGGGTGAGTGAGAGAGAGAGAGAGAGAGAGAGAGTGAGAGAGAGAGAGAGAGAGATTGAGTGAATATGCAAGTGAGTGAGTGAGCGAGTGAGCGAGGACTAAGTGAGTGCATGAGTGAGAGAGAGAGCACGAGATTGAGTGAGTGTGAGTGAGTGAGTGAGTGAGTGAGCAAGCGAGCGAGTGAGTGAGCTAGTGAGTGAGTGAGCGAGCGATAGGAGTAAGCGATTAATCGACTAAAGAGAAACACTGAGAGATACTGGGATACAGAACAACACAATGCACCAGCAGCACTCACAGACAAGATTAGACAGTAGGTGAGCAGGTATGCATTCATCATGGTCATGTGATCGCATCATCAGTTGACATGCTTTGGAAAGTAGTGCACGGCGATGCACAAGACACACACTGTATACATAAGCAGTTCCGCTGACTCGCACTGTGAACATAGCGCACATAAGCAGTAAGCAGTTCCGCTGACACACCACCGAGCCATAATTCGCATCATCTCTATTGACTAGGCTAGCATACACAAGCACCACTGTGCGCACATCGAGCGGCTCAACTGGCCGCAGAGCACAGACATTGAGACATAGTGAGCAACTTGATCAATTTCACCCCATTGATGCGTTATTTTCTTCTTTCTTTTTTCCTTCTCTTGCCATGGCTGGCGAACGTATTGATTTTTTGCCATTGGACGGTGAAATAAAAAAATAACTTACCCAGTGCTGACAAAGCTGGTGGTGTTGAGAGGAGCACCAATACTAGCGGCACCGACGACGGCTGGGCCGGCATCTCGGTTTGGGTTCCAGGAGGAGCGCAGGCGTTTGGACTCCTCCAGTGCCGCTTCCTGTCTTTGCTTCAGCTGCAAGAACATGCACATGAAAATATGAAGATGTCGATTTCTACATTGTCTAGATTTCTACATTGTCTAGATTTCTACATTGTCTAGATTTCTACATTGTCTAGATGGCTACATTGTCTAGATGTCTACATTGGTATCAGGTAGGCTAAGCTTCAGTTCACTGAGGTTAAATTCGGCCTCTACACCATTACCCTGGTACCCTTCGTACCAGGAACTGTTCACATGACAGAAATTCTGCTGGTGAAGGCAAGGCGCCAGCCATTACAGGGTACTGTCACTCACTCTCTCTTGCTCCTCGTTGCGCACTATAGTGAAGAGGCAGCGACCCAGGCTCACGCTGTCAAGACGCTTTCTGTAATACGACAATAAAACCACAGTCAGAAATCAAATTGAAATGCAATCATTGAGTCAATAAAATTCCCTTGTCCAGAAAAGAGGGATTTGGGAGCAAATTAGAAACTGAACTTTTGAAACTTTCAACCTGACAAGGGGCTAATCGTACCGTGTGACAATCCAGCACAAACTGACATGTTCCATACCAGTTTGGAGAAATCATTCATGGCCTAAGTTAGTGTGGAGACTAAAGAGTCGGTCATTGCATTTCTCTCTCTCTCTCCCTCTCTCTCTCTCTCTCTCTCTCTCTCTCTCTCTCTCTCTCTCTCTCTCTCTCTCTCTCTCGAACGCAACACCAAATGGCCGCTTTCCACACTTTCCTATCCACAGGCCCGATGCATCCTTTTTTGTCTTTCTACATACAGTCCTTCAAGTCATGCTAAACTCATACGATGTCCGCAAATACGGTGCTGCTCAATGAAATCCAATCGCGTGTGAGTCAACGTTGCGCGCTGCATCAGTGGACAAAACCAGTGCTCGCAGGTCTAGAGCTGCATTGCATCGCCCGACGTGCCATAGACTGGCCTGGTTGGATTCGCTGAGTAGCACTGTAGTACCGTTTTACCGAACGCTCACAAAAACAGTTCATGGCTCACGTGAGACTCGGCTAGCGGCTGAGTTTTCCGCATCCGTAGGAACGCCGCCACGCTCAAGGATCAAGCACGCTCACTAACGCAGCAGCAGCAAACGACACTGTACATTGCATACATGTACTTGCAATCTCACCTTCCCGATCAGTAATTCCATTAGGGGACTTTCTACCACATGTCTTTGCCCATTCACCGGGGAAATTCATGCCCTAAGTGAGAGACTGGCTGTGATGCTATCCACCAACCATATGCCCAGGATCTGTGTAATGAGAGCGGCTGGCCCATAATCAAAAAGTGGACAGCTCGACATGATGTAGCATATTCTGTTCCATTATCCAGGCATGGAGTGACTTGTTAAAGACACGACCGGGTGCAAGGTACTAGTAAATAGTAAATAAGGTCAGAGGATTGCGTGCCAGTTTGTTGCAAAACAATTCATGGTTTGCGTAAGACTCGGTGAGACTGAGTTCTCCGCATGCGTACACGGATACAAGTTGCAAGCATAGCACGGTAGTACTGACTGGGCATGCTTCAGCTGCTCATCCAGCCCTAGCCTGGACATGTCCGATGCCTCCGCTGGCACCTAGGGAGAACAGAGCACACACAGCACGCACAGCACACACAAGACAAGATCCGTTGTGAGGGCTGCACCAGATGGGTGCTGCTGGAGTGTAGCAGATACGACCTTCACTGAACCGAACTCCACTGAGTGCGTGTTTGTGTGTGTATATGCGTGTACGTGCGTGTGTGTGTGTGTGTGTGTGTGTGTGTGTGTGTGTGTGTGTGTGTGTGTGTGTGTGTGTGGTGGTGGTGTGTGTGTGTGTGTGTGTGTGTGTGTGTGTGTGTGTGTGTGTGTGTGTGTGTGTGTGTGTGTGTGTGTGTGAGCGTGAGTGTGTGTCTGTGTGTGTGTCTGTGTGTGTGTCTGTGTGTGCCTACCCACACAGCTGATTGAAGTGGCTTTTTCGTTGCTATGTCTAAGGGACCATCGCAAAAGTTCGCAGAAGCCCCCGAAACGAAGACCGTTAATTTCGGGCCTGACCCCCCTCCCTCCCCCCTCAAACGAAACGACAGTCACAATATGGGCTTCATTATTTCACTTGGATGCTCACACATAATAATTATTATAATATACTACACAAGCATTGTTGTATCAGTGTGTAACAATGTACAGCACTTTATAAATACAACGATGATATCACCTTGCAGTGGGTGATCTAAGAACGAGAACAGCTAGAGCTATGCAGTTGTATCCTTTGAGCATGCTAATCTATATCAGCTCCTACATGTCGTCAATACTTTTTTGAATTGAAGCCCGGTTTGCGATTTTCGACACCGACTCCCTCCCCCCCCCCCCCCCCCCCCCCCCCAAACGTATGCTCTTCGTTTCAGGGGCTTCTGCGAACTTTTGCGATGGTCCCTAACATACTTGAAGTAGCTTGTTCGCTATCATCGCTTCAACGATGGCCTTGTGAAAGGTGAAAGTGGACAAAAATGTGTGCCTACCCTCAGTCCAACACTGCTGGATGATGAATAGCTGGAGAGAGAATCACAGTCGTCATCAGAACTCTCCGACGAGCTCTCCTACAGAATACGCACAGCAAACACAGGAGCATCAGTTCAGTTAAACACCAGCTGATCGTCATCACACTGTCCTCCCAACAGCTGCGTCAGCATCATGATTTTAATCATGCAATCCCTGGAGAGAAGGGAACTACATGTATTTTAAGTCTTTTTTCGAATAAAAATTATACACTCAGGGTATACAGTCAACTTCGCCAATAACGACATTCGGCGGGGCATCAGAAAAGTGTCCTTATTCGCGAAGTGTCCTTATAACCGAAGTCCCATTTGAATGTATGTGAACCCATATTTTGTATAGTATGACACGCATATCAAAATCAAGCTCTTTTCTTGCTCTATGTCAATGTGTACTTTATTTTCATATTGCAGTTGAAAGGAACTAAAAATTCAATATGCAAGGGAAATAAATTGAAAAATATGCCTTTTTGAGCCATCTACCATGATCTACAGGGCCAGGGCCTAGGGACAATGATGTACATGTACATGTACATGTATGATGATTACTGTACAATCATGTACTAGTACAACTACATGTAAATGCATGATAGAATCCAACACTGGTAAACCAGCATTAGATAAACCTTGTTGTAGTTCACGCAATTGTTAGATTGACAGCATGAAACAAGGTGGAGGACACTCTGTGTTCGAAAACAGTGACCTTACTACAACCTCCCGGCGCGGTTGGCAGAGCCCCAGTCCCTGCGGTACCCATATGGTTCAAATGGTCCGCAGGGACCGGGGCTCTGCCAAGTGCCAACCGCGGAAGGTTGTAGTAAGGTCACTGTTTTCGAACACAGTGTCATCCACCTTGTTTCATGCTGTCAATCTAACAATGTACATGCATGTACATGTACATGTAGGTGTGCTGGTAAATTCAACACTTTTGAAGCAAAATAAAAAAGGAAGAAAAAGCCCCCCCCCCCCCCCCCCCCCTTGGCTGCATTTTCTTTTCTTTATCCATCACCATAGTATACAGGTTCTGGACTTCTGGTACTTCTGCATGACAGATACATGTACCTTTACATGTACCGGTACTTGACTGACAGGTACTTGAAATAGCTGTCAAAAGCCCAGAAAGTCGTTATTCAAGCAGTGAATATGACCTCGGGGCACTAAAAGCATGTCGCTATTCGCGAATTGTCGTTATTCAGATAGTCGTTATATCCGAAGTTGAATGTATACAGTTAGATGGGACTTTGCTCCGGGCATGGAAATTCGGTCGTTATTCGCAAATTGTCGTTATATCCGCAGTCGTTATTGGCGAAGTTGACTGTAGTCGCATTTTCAAATTATTTACCCAGGGTATATGCCGCAGGGTGAATTTCACGCAAATTCTTCAGAAGCAATAGCATCACCCTACCCATAGCCTAGCAGGTAGAACATTTGATATTCTGTGACGAAGACATGGCAGGCCACTTTGGCATGTCAGTGTGGCCGCGACTTGAACTGGCTGATTGAGCGTTGCGGTGAATTCGCCAGTTCATCTACTTGTTTCCTGGCAGAAACATTCACACATGCGCACGCGCACATACACACACACACACACACACACACACACACACACACACACACACACACACACTTACTTACTTTCTCAAGGTTGTGTAGCTGGCCAAGCGTCCTGGCAATCAATGCCTTCGTGTCCATCTCAACCGTTCCAAGCTCACCGTACGGTGCTGCGGGTCTTGACTTAAGGCCCTTGTCTCTCATCTGCTGGGTACGTCGCGAGTGATTTGCGTGCGAGAAGTCATCGCGGGTTGGATGCTGGCTCATACGCACCGTCGATGTGCGTGCCAGTATCTACAAGATATGCCCCAATTGACACGAATGTGCGATAATACACGTTCACGTGCACATGCACACACATGCACCATACACGTGTGTGCACGCACGCACGCGCACACACACACACACACACACACACACACACACACACACACACACACACAAACACACACAAACACACACGCAAACACGCACACAAACATACACACACGCGCATACACACAGCAATCCAGCATCTAAGCTTCAAGTCGCATTCTCTCTGCTCCTTGCTTTCAATTTAACTACATCGGACACTCATCTGAAGTACATCTTCTTTTCACTATCGCTCAATTTCTGATGAAAGGAAAGGTCTATCAGATGTACGCCATCATCGCACGGAATAAGTTGGTTGCTCCCGCTTCCTGCTGAATTACTTGTCAAATATTTCAGCAGGAAGCGGGAGCAACAAACTTATTCCGTGCGATGATGGCATACATCTGATAGACCTTTCCTGTCATCAGAAATTGAGCAGTAGTGAAAAGAAGAACTCGCAACTACCATCTATAAAGACGAAGACAGAGTTCACCAATGTTTGCCGTGGGCTACTGGTCACCATCGTGGAGGAAACAGTGAGTGGAGACGAAATCAAGTGGGGGCTGCTGATGCTCGAGAACGGCATGAATTCCGTGATGCAGGTTGTGTCAGAGTTGGTGAGGAGCAACCAACTTCGTCCATGACCACTGCCCAAGTTGCTACGTCATATCACATGCAGTGTTGAGACAAACACACTTAGGCATTCAGACCAACAGCCTTGCAGCTATGGGCTTCTGGGCATAGGCTTGCTATGATAATTGCGATGATCAATATAGCGTATAGTGTTTGTCGCCGTATTGTCTCTCTCCGTACTGTCTCTCTCTCTCTCTCATCTGCATTATATGTGCATGCTTGTTGTAAATAAATCCAGTCCTTGTCTTGTCGCGCGATGGACTTCTGCGTGGCTTGCAGGCCGAACACAACAATCAACACAATATCAGCTCCCGTCGCTTGCTTCCATCACAGGCAAAGTATTCGTAGCGGCCACAACTAACATAGCGAATCATGCCGGTGACGATAGCTGGGCACACGGATTCCGGACCAGCGCTCAGAATACTTTCTTTGACGTCCGGGCCTTCCACCCGGATGCGGCTTCATACGAGCTAGGACAAGCCCATCAAAGACCTGCTTCAGCAGCGTGAACGCCGCAAGAAGAGTGAATATGCTGAGCACGTTAAAACAATGTCGTCCATGGTATTTCCGACCCCATTAGTCTTCACCACGTCGGGTTGCTACATGTGTGTAATGTAATGTCCTAAAAAGTCCAGTACTTACTTGCACTGCTGTAAAACGGCTAATTTTAGCGACGGTGATATTTTAGCGACTTTAGCGAAAGGAGTGTTTTCGCTAAAGTTTTGCAGCACCAATCGACATTTTGTATGTACAGTACAGTACTAGTCATCCTTTTTTTTTTAAGTCTGAAACTCGGATCGCTAAAATATTTCATCACGAATTGGTCCAGATTCAGAAAACGCTAAAACTTTTACCCGCTAAAATTAGCCGTTCTACTGTAAGCAACTACATGTAGAGTAAACCTGTCAAGGGGACCACTCGGATAAGGCGACCACCTGTCCTAGAAGACCACAGAAACCAGGACCGAGGGATGCTATTTCCAGTCAAATGACCCTGGATAAGGAGACCACCTGGTAACAGAGACCACATTTTTTGAAGGTCCCTTGAGCTTAGACAGGTTTCACTGTACCATACTACAGTACTGCTCACTGAAATCCAATCAAGCGAGTGAATGCACCGCCGGGCAGCGCTGTGCAGCCCTAGAACTACGAACACTGGGATGTTTGCATGTCATGATTGGAAGCTGTGGCCTGAGTAAAAAAATAAATAAAAAAAATAATAATGTGGACTACATGTTTGTAGTGCAGGCCGCAAACTTGATTCACGCGATGGGATTTCATTGAGCAGCACTGACTGCAGTAGTAGTACGAGGTGAATAGCAATTTCTGGACATGAAAATAAAATAGAGGCCCACTGGCTGTGTGTTTTACATTTTTCATATCTTTTTGTATCTATTGTATGGCCTAATCCTTCATCTTTCCAAATATGTGACAACTGCTCATGCTGTGATCCCAGAGACTTTATAGCAGGATGTTTTCGACAGGCCAATTTTTTGGCCTAAATTTCAGTGTATCGAATTCTGGACATGAAAGTAAAATAGCGTCAATAGGCATCCTATACTGCACCATTTTTGTTATATTTTCTATTGGTGGACTGCAGTTGGCCTCTTCACACTTCCAGCTAACAGGTCCAAGACTATACAGCGTCTGAAGTGAAGCGCACATGGGGAAGCCAACAATTCGTCCATTACTTCTTATTTTACTCAAAATTCAAAATTCTCATGCGACATAGTACCACAAACCTCGTTGAAATGCCTCCCAAGAAAAGGCTATCAACAAGGCACCGACACGAGGAGAAACTACAACAGCCCAGCTGTCAACTACAACAAGAAAAAACTTCATCAACCTGACTGACTTGACTCTACACGCGACGAAAAATTATTTTACTCGAAATGTCCAGAAATGTACAATGTCCAGAAATAGCAATTCACCTCGTACAGTCATGGTGTTCCGATGAAGAACTGAGACCCCGAGTTCTCCGATAGTGAGAGACCCGCTCTGGTACACAATGCTCTCCGTTTGTGAGAGACGCACTTCTTCCGCCCAATGGCAATGCTTGGACACTAAAGGTAATGACTGTTCTCTTTCTGTTCACCCAGAAGTCTGAATTATGCTTGAACATACACAAGAATAATACCCTCGCCGGGCAAGCTCGTAATCAGGCATACGTAGCAGCACTAGCAGGCAGCTGCAAGCAATACTAGCACGGTATAGCGGTAGTCTACAGTACAATGCAGTGGTACACGAACTACATGAAATAAAAGGATGAATCACCACCGATATGACAGAGTCCTGTGGTCTCATCTGACCACAACACAGCGTACAATGAGACACGGCCTATGGCACTCAATGCATAAAGATTGAAACATGACACTATTCAAAGTATCCTTCTGAACATTCTCCCCTTCCTCGATGTGTGGAGCACTATCGAAACTAAACACCTAGCTGAGCAACGCCTAGTATAGTATCGACAGCTAGAAAGGAGAAGCAAAGAAAATAACACTGCAGCAAACGGCTTGCCTAATCTACAGCATGAAATAGTTGACATAACAAAGTCTAAAACCATGTGATGGTCTGACCCGTCTTAAGATGTTCACTCAGCAGGTGACTCAATTGGGCACAGCTTGCTGATAGGACGGATTAGCGTAGACTTTCCAACTTGCACTTTCACGACACGCACATGTCCGTCTCGTCCAGGAAATGTCTCCAACACTCTTGCCAGAGGCCAGTTACCGCGAGGGGTGTTGGGACTCAGCAACAGCATAACGTCTCCGATCTTGACGTCATTATGAGGCTTCCGCCATTTCTTGCGCTGGGTAAGTAACGGAAGCCACTCCCGTATCCATCGCTGCCAGAAGTGGTGGACTAGTTGTTGGACTCTCCTCCAGCGCTTCCGCGGGTTGAAGTCGGTTGTGTCGACCGATGATGGTGCAAATGTTCCTCCACACTGCCCGAATAGGAAGTGGTTCGGCGTAAGAGGCGGTTCATCTGACGGCGAGCTGGATGTGTACGTCAATGGTCTTGAGTTGATGAGACTCTCAGCTGCGACGAAAGCTGTGGTCAGCTCTTCGTCTGTGATGTCGGCAGACTTCAAAATCGCTGACACGGCTCGCTTAGCCGCACGTATCATTACTTCGAATACTCCACCGAAGTGAGGGGCGGCCGCCGGGTTGAACTGCCATGTCACCCTCTGATCCGCCACTGTCCGAATGATCTGCTCTTCATCCATTTGCGCAACAAGATCCTTCAATTCTCCTTGTGCGCCGACAAAGTTGGTGCCGTTGTCCGAGATGACCCGTTCTGGCAGTCCCCGTCGTCCAACAAAGCGGTAGAAGGCATTGAGGAAGGAGTTCGTGTCCATGCTGTATGCGATCTCCAGATGTACTGCCCTCGTGGCCAAGCAAGTGAATAGACACAAGTAGCGCTTTGTCCGCTTTCGCCCGCGGCCGTGTACTGTCTCAAACGGCCCAGCAAAGTCAACTCCAGCTCGAGCGAACGCCCTGAAGGATGGTGTGATGCGGCTCCGCGGCAATGGTGCCATCACTTGCTGTGTGGGTCTGGCCTTGAGTAGCTTGCATCGCGGACATTTCCTCTCGACGTCTCGGACGGCTTCCCTCCCAGCTACTATCCAAAAGCGGCTGCAAAGAGATGCGTACACCTGGTTGACGCCTCCGACATGCTGAGCTTGGTCGTGATATTGCTGGACGATTAACCTGGTTACGGTATGGTGTCTTGGCAGGATGATCGGGTTGACGGCATCTCGTGGCAGAAAGTCTGCGAATTCAAGTCGACCACGGCAGCGTATGACACCCTCCTCATCGATGTACGGACACAAGGACCTCAAGGGACTACGTTCTGGAATGGATTGCTTGTTCCGGAGCGCTGGCATCTCCGCATGAAACGCTTCTCCTTGCGCAAGCTTTATGATCTCCGTCTCTGCGGCTGCCAATTCGTCGGGCATCAGCTCCCCTCCCTGACGATCCTCCTTTTGTCGACGGCAGTTCTCACCGAACCGCAGCACCCGCGCCCACAGTCGTACTCCCCGTGCCCAGTTGATGAACCTGTTGGCATGGAGTCGGCTGGAATCGTCAACGTTAGCGGTCACTTGCAGCAAGCTGACCGTGGTTCCAGATGATACGGCGCTCACTTTCTTCTCCTCTTTCCGTGCCTCGGACTGCGGATAGGCTGGCACTGTTCCCATGGGCCATTTTTCCGGCTCTTGTTGGAGGAAAGCAGGGCCATTCAACCAGACGGTCGTGTCGAGATTGGGGACCGTTGTACCCCTAGAGACCACATCAGCTGGATTCTGGT